TGGGTATTATATACACATCCCACTCTCTAAAATGATTATGAACGAATAAATTTGTTTTCAATGTTACTCATACGCACTGTACCTATATGAACATGAGAAGGCAACAGAGCGTGTTCAGGCGTTAGGTGTGTTAAAAGTATTCGTGCCTTATATACACAAAAACATAACTGTGTTTATTTTTGAATGCATTGCATATTTTGAAGTGTTTTTAAGTGCCAATAAGTACTGCCAAGACTTTTAACAAAATATTTATATACATATAAGTATGCAGCTACTATTTGCTACCGCATATGCATTAAGGACCACCTGTATGTATTTATAACAGCATGTGAAAATATGTGCACCCATATAAATACACATAAATAACCGTAAATTTAAAATAATGCTTTTTGCACCGGATATATGTGGCAGCACATGACCCAACCATTCGAGGCTCGAGTGGCTGAATATTTTCCTTTTTTTTGTACTTTCACAGTTACCTCAATGTACCCACCACTCATGATGGGCATGACATGTCAATGTCAACGGTAGTCTATTTGTGTAATAGTATAAGTGGCAGCCAGCCAAGCAGGCAGTAAGTCAACTAGCCAGAACAAGTAGTGAACTAAAGCTTAGACAAAAAGCAAAGGCAAAAAAATAAAAAATCAACTCGAGAACTTATGTGAAACTCCATGCATGGCATGCATGGAATAGAGAAAGGTGGAAATTGTTAAGAAAAAAATACAAAATGCCAATAAGGTAATGGTTGAGTGAAGCACCGAGCATGAGGAACTCGTAAGGAGCACATATTTTTGTCTGCTTGCCAAAGCGAGTTGCCGGAAAAGAGGAGGGTATGGCGTGTCTGCAGACAGTAATACATATACTAGTGTATGATGTGTGTTAGGATAAATGTGAGAAGCTAGGCAAAAAGTATAATGGCTTCGTATGGTGTAAAGTTAAAAGGGTTTTCTGCTTAATACTTAAAACTACGGTGTTTTCACTTTGAGCTTATAAAAACAAATAGTAGGATTTCATAGAACCGGATATAATAACAATAGTGCATTATGTGGCATATTTAACATTAGAATATACATATCGTTTTGTGAGTTCTAATGTTCTTGCAGCAACGGGATGTTATGAAAAACTGAAACGTACTTGTAAATAAAACTATTAAATAAAATAAAAATACTAAAACCCATTTAGATTTATTTAAAAAAATAAAAGTTTTTATTTAATCGGAATTTTTAGATTAAAGTCACAATTCATTAAACTTCATTTTTTACTCCAGACAGCTCTAAGTAGCTCTGCAGTTCAGGCTGTTAAAACAAACTTCGTGCAAAAAGCCTACAAATTTCTATGGATCCACTCAAATCGGAAACCATCGCTTGCCTTTCACGCTCACTTAAAAGCACTACTAAGTACAAAATATCGCATATCAAAACTGTTTTTACTTAAAAGCACGTGCGTATAGATTTTTAAGTAATAATATTTTACCTTGACATATTGTCAACCATATACTCAGATAAATATATGTGTATGTGTGCGGTGTGTCTGTGAAAGCACTGTAAATGCTTGAAAAAAAAAGCGAAATAGAACAAAACCGACAAAAATAAGAAAGGTGAAAGTAATTGGTTAGAAAAGACCTTTGGCATGCATTTGGAAAATTGCACATTTGTTGAAGTAAGCATTAAGCCATGTCATTGCACAGCAACACATCCATATGCGCACATAAATGTCTCAGTGTCGCTGTGAAAATATACGAAGCGTGTGGAAGAGCAGTGAGCTGGCGAAGGTGTCGGCAATGCCGCTTTGACCGGCAATGACAAGCGCATGCGAGAATATTGCGGATTGCGCAATGTAAGTGCTTACACGCTTACACATATACACACATGTGAATGAATGTGTGTGTGTGTATATGTATGCAGTTGTATGTATTTCATGCTGCACATTAGTTACGCATACGCCCTGTCGACTGCTGAAATGGCAAACCAAATTTATGGGCATTAGTATAATGAGATTTTCAGCTATTCAATTTCGCAAAGCATAACTGTAAAATGGGAAATTATTGATTATTCTTATAAAATGACAAATATACAGAGTCTGACTTGGTGCTGGCGTATCATGTGACTAATGTTATGCTTATAGAGATATATAGGTATATAAATAGGATTTTAAATTTTTCGAACAAATACTTTTCTAATTTGATTGCTGAAGCTTTCACTAAAACTAATTTGTGTAAATTCGTTTTCATTATTATTAATTTTTTGCATTTAAAAATAATATTTTTGCTCAATGATATTCTTTCAGAACAAGAATGTTTTTGTTTAACATTTTTTTGAACATATAACAAAAATATCAAAAATTTAGTGATGTACTGTATTCATCAATATTCAAATCAAGTGGTTCCCATTTAATCTTAATTTTCATATTTTTTCCCCGAACTACCTACAATTATGATCAAGGCTATGAAATTAAAATTTCAAAGGCTTCAGGTGGAACAAACATAAATTTACTCAATTTCTGCTTCTAAAGCAGCATCAATGTTGTTTTTTTTTTCAAAACACCAGTTGACTGTGCTATACAAAACTGTATACAAAGTGACAAGGTACTTAAAAAGTATTTAGTGCAACTAACACTTGTGCTTAATTAAACGCGCATTAAACTTTGACTAAAACAGAAAGTGAAAAAAGTGCAAAACCTGCACAAAAGCAGAAAGAGTGACTGCAGCGCAAGTGAAACAGTCGCCTAACTTAAAGTAGCACATGTGTTTGTATGTGTTTCAGAAACACAGTTAAGTACTTGTAAAGGAAAAGCTCGAAAAGTTTCAAACGGATTATGGCTAAATACATTTGCTTACAGTTTAATCCTATGACTCTAAATATATTTATCTGCTAATAAATAAGCTGAATGTTTAACGAACGGATGCTGCATGCAACAACGTGTTTTAAACAGCAACAAGGCTTAATAATGGCCGCAGAGAATTTTAAAGTTATCAGGGTGGCTATCTAACTATTCGAAATGTTCAACAGATTTTATAGCCAAAACTTATATTACAAGAATATAAATGATGGTTGCCAACTCTTTTGAAAAATGTTAAATTCATTTATAATACCTTTCATAACGCAATATATGGCTGCTTTACAAAAAAATATTTTGTTTCAATAGAGTTGCCACTTAAATAAAAATATTAAGAAATTTAAAAAAAAAATCGAATGATTATTTGCGATGAAAACTTCTGCTTGTTATCAAAAAGCTTAATTTTTTGAATAAAGGTGAAACCTATCAAATATTTTGAAAAGTAAAACCGTAAATACGAAAACCATTTGAATAAAAGTTTTTAAAATTTGATATACTACAGACAAGGTAACAGGTTTTTAACGGTGTATACTTAGCACTATATTATTAGGTGAAAAAATTACAAAGTTGCCACCTGCAACGAAAATGTAAAGCTAATAAATAATTTTAAAACGCCTCTACTTATAAATCAAACTAAGAAATCTTATATAGCAAAGCCATAGATTTCATCAACAGCGAATGTTTTTGAACAGAATTCCTACGTTTTTTGAATTTTAATTAGGAAATAAAATAAAATATTACATATTGCATGCGGTGATGGAACTATGTGGAACTAAACACATATTTCGATGAAAATAGTATATATGTTGTTAAATATTATAAAAATAATTGAATATTAAAAAAAAAAACAGTAACCCTGTGAAATGAAAAAACAAAAAATCTTAAAATTTTTTAAATTGTAATTTGTATTTTTATCCCTGAACAGGGTATATTAAGTTTACCACGAAGTTTGTAACACCTATAAAATATATATATAAATGATCGACATGACGAGCTGAGTCGGTTTAGCCATGTCCGCGAACTAGTCACTCAGTTTTTTAGATATCGATCTGAAATTTTGCACACATCCTTTCCTCCCAAAGAAATTGCTCATTTGTTGAAACTGTCGATATCGGACTACTACAGCGACGATCGAAAACAAGTTCTTGTAAAGAAGCTCTTATATTTGTGAATAGTGTTATAGCTTCGGTGCAGCTAAAATTTAAGGTCTTTTTTTTAAATTTGCATTACAGAACACGGACTTATTTTATTAATTTTTTTTTATTTTTTTATTTAATATAAACCCCAAAATTTCGGGAAGATACATTTGTAATAACTTTCAATTTTAAACTTCTAGTCAAGCATATTAGAACTCAATATCATACTAAAGCCCATTCATATGTATGTAAGCATATACATATGTACTCAGAATAAAATGTGTAAAAAGTTTTGCACTGCCACAGTCTCCAGTGTACTCAGTATAACAAATAAATAGAGAAATGTTTACTAACATACAAAGCATACACATTCACCAACATAAATACATATTTAATTTCTGTAACAATTCTATTTTACTACAACAAAAATCATTTGAGCGCTAAAACTAATACAAACTCGCTTCACGACTCCCTTAGCAGGGCGATGTGATAAATAATGGAACACCACTTGTGGGGATCCAAGCCACGCGCAGCCAACTTACCCACGTACAAATGGATAAATAAAGAAGCAATACAACAAAAACAACAGCCATACAATTTCAATTCATTTCGTTTCATTTGAGTTTAGCAACAATGCAGCAACAGTGGCCAACAGCTATTTATGTTGTTTTGCCGATTCCTCTGTTGGCTTATGTTATAAAACACATTGGCAACACTGTAAACATAGTAAAGTTGTAAATCGAGCAAAATGCACACAAAAACAAAAAACGAAAACAACAGTATTTTCAATTGCATATATCTTCATTTGGTGTTATAAATTTCCTCAACTTTCTCTCTTCTTCTCTTTTTTGCATTTTCCCAATCAACAACTCGCCTGAACCGCCCGAACCGCCTGAACTGTGCCGCCCGCAACGTAATCGCATCAACGTCATCAACATATCAACACCATTTTTGCTGGCAACAATCAACCGGCAACCCGACTTGTGGCTATCCTGTGTATGTTGTAACATCTGTGCAACGCTGGTGCAGCTAACTGTACAGTTGGCAATACAACATATGCACATGGACAGACATTTAAATTGGATTGTAAAACACAATGTGTCTGTGAGGTAAGTTGACAAAAAGAAGAGGGGCAGTAAGTGCACGGGAGGGATGAGCTAGTGCTGCAGTTGTTGTTGGGCGACAACGTGCCAGCTTTGGCCGCACCTACACATGCTTAGACGAGGATTTGTGCATATTTATATATTTGTCAATTTGTGTTTAAACTTACACTAACACAAACACCCAGTCGCTGTGCCTTTTTTCCTTCATCCAGTATTATTGTTGGCACTTTTATTATTTCAATCGCACTATTTCCTACACTTCTTTCCATTTGCTTGTGTTTTTTCTTGTTTTGATTATTCTGTCTTTGATTTTTTCTCTATCAATTTCCTCTCTAAATAGATATGTAGTATGTATTTTTTATTTTGTATGTAGTTTATAAAGGACCTCTAGGAAAACTCTATTATTTTTGAAGAACTTTTTTTCCCAGAAACGGGTTTTTTTAATGATCAAACACAGTATATATATTATATTTATATATATCTAAAGTTGTTAAATTTTATTTCTGCTTGAAAACTGTGCCCATTTGTTGGCAATACAGCTTTTGAGTTGATACAATTTTTTCTTACGCGCTTTGCGGTGAGCAGGATAATTAGGCGATGCATCATCTCCAATCCAATAAAGCCCCAGTTTGCTTTGGTTCATATGGCAAAATAAACATTTTGACACTATTAGTGAAGACTTTACTACTTACAATTTTTTAGACTTTACTAATCTACATTCAGTTTTTCTTCCTAAAAAAAAACAAAATAAGCTTTGACATGAAATTACCTTTGTTCAAGTATGAGATATTGCAGTTTTTAAGTAGCCGGCAAAAAATTAGATCGGTGGATTACATGGTCCTTGAGGAACCTTGCTAACCGCAACGGGACTATATGAAAAGCCTCATTCCTTCTTGTTATATAAACGAGTTTAAGCGATTGGCACGTACTTAAGAGCACATGGGAGGAGCACGCTGGTGACAGCTGCAACTTTGGCTCTAGTATTCAGATCGTTATGAAATTTGAAAGAGTTAATCTCAAAAGGAAATACTTTCAAAAATGTCCATAAAGAACGTTTCGATCATTTTACCCACACACAAGTATATCTAACCCCTTAATAAGACCTTGTAAGTAATGTGCTAAATTTTATATTTTAAAGAGCCATAGTTGAATTCTATTTTAGTAAAAAAGAAAACCGTGTTTGAAGACGCTCTATAAAGTCGATTAGTATTTTAATTTTATAAAGTATCATGCTCGTGTTTTTTTTTTTTTGTTACCATTATCATTGTTATTATTTGTTTAACGAGTTCTTAAAAAGAAGTAGTTTCTACACTTCAACAGATTATATATATATATTATATATATAGTGAATCTACTTTACCTTTTCCTCAGTTGATTCTTCAGTAATCATCTACTCTCGCCATGAGCCAATTTTCAACTATAAAAATGGTTGACTGCTTTTAAGTTGAGGACATAATTCTGTCAAAATATCCTCCTTGAACTCATAAAAAATTAAAGTTTATAAACTCTTATAATCTCTTTTTGCTTTGATTGACGAAAAGATGGTCGTGTATCCAACAAAAATTCTGCTTACGAGCTCTAACCGCGAACCAAATATTCCAATAAAAGTAGAAAATATCAGCTACTACTTGCGAAGCCATGTCCTAGAAGGACCCTTCTATGAAATATACAAATCATTCGCCACTATATAAATGCATACCTACGTACCCCGTATACGAATAATGAAAGTGTGGCAGCTTATATATTTATATGTACTTGTAGGTGTGATGCTTTATGCCACATCGTCAATGCAACAAATGCCAAAGCGTATTAGAGTAAATTGAATTTATGTGGCAATAGGATTTACCTAGCATGATGAGATGAGGTGTTCGGGACACCGCTTGGATAGAAAAAATGCAGGCAAGCATTACATCTGTACAACGGCACATGGAAAATAAAATTGTATTCAATTGAGAAATGGTTAAATTCTATTAGGGTAATGAAAAAATACCAACGTAACTGTATATGTCCTTGGCGTTAGTGTCTGCCTTTAAGTGGCAATTTGAGCAGGCAACATGTTTCTACATTGTCAAGCAAGATTGCAATACGTGCGGCAAGCAACGAAATAACTGCATTTAATAAATAAGAAGCACAACTGTGTACCCGCTTATTTAAATAAATATTTGATGTATGTGTTTGTATGTATGCAGGCACACTGATGATTTTGTGGTCTTGGCATTGCCACACATTAGACGACCTGTCATTTAGCGTTAGTAACGGCACTAATAGTATGAGATCGCTGTCAGCACTCTCGGCATTGCTGGAGTATGGGGCCAGCGGACATGATGTGGCAATGGGCAGTGGCTGCTGTTGTTGCTCGTGAACAGACATTTTCAATTAACTCGGAATTATATTTTGCCAACTGATTGCAAATTTCGATTAGCCACTTTAGGCTGACCAATGCCATCCATCACTTAAGCACACGTACATACATATGTTCATATGTAAGTTAGAAAAATGTATTCGAAATACATAAGAATTAAAATTTTCTAGTTTTATGACTGTTGTTGACTAGCAGATAGATCTCAGGAGTTTTTTGTCATGTCAATAAACAAGTTTTCTTAATTATTGATCATTGCATGCGAAACATTTCAACAACTGCACTGAGCTAATACCTTTTTAAAATCTTTAATAGTATTTTGTATTCAACATTCTCCACAACAACATTCCACGATTTTTGTAACACCCAGAAAGAAACGTCGGAGACCCTATAAAATATATACGAGTATATAAGTGATCAGCATGAGCAGGAGCTGAGTCGATTTAGTCCTGTCCGTCTTTATATATGCGAACTGGTCCCTTAGTTTTTGAGATATCGATATGAAATTTTGTACACGTGCTTTTCTCCAAAGCTATCGGACGACTATAGCTTATAGCTGCCATACATACTGTGCGATCGGAATCAAGTATTTGTATTAAAAACTTTTAACGTGTGTTATTGTCTAAGGCTATGCAATCTTAGAAGAAATTAAAAATCTTAATTAAATCTGCGAACAAATTGTTCCGATCGGACTACTACAGCATATAGCTGCCATTCCAATTAACCATTAAGTCTGCTTTGTTTTATTGACAGATTAAAGTCTCTTGTTAAATCGTTCTGATCTTTAGAGTCGACGTGGTATTTTTGTTTCAGATTCCTGAATAAACTCAGAATACAGATGAACTCCGTGATGAATAGCTGTTCTGAGAGAATAGTTGATTTTCCCACATAAGTACAATATTTTTTTTGAAAGTGGTTTCAAAGCAGATGTCTTTAGCAAATCAGGGTAAAACGTTTTCTTTGAATGTTTACCCTTGAGTGGGTTAACCAGGCAAAAAAAGCAGTCTGAGTAATAATCACCTGGTTCCCTCCAACTTCTCGACACTGCAAACTTCATTACTATTTTTCACTTCGGTACTAGCCTACAATAAAACGCATATATTATTGTATATATATTATAACTTTGTAAATGTTATCAAAATAGTTAATAATTATTATAAAAAAGAGGTAATTGTAAAACTCACCATACTGATTTTTAACAGGTAGATTGAAGTAAGCTTGATATACTTTGCAAATCTTTAAATTTTTACTTAAATCATCTCTTAAATCGGGAAACAGAAGACCGACATCATATGGACGCGAAAATAATATATGGTCAAATCGCTTTAATTGCCTAAAAATCAAATATTTTCGATTTATAAACGGATTTATTAGGTAAAACCTATGCTCAAAAAAAATATTTTTTTTGTTTACCTGTGATATTATTACATTTTTACATAATAACCACACAACCACACACACTTATTGTTGTCCCCACATGTTTACTCGCTTTTATGCAATCCGTTATTTATTTTAGCAGACGTTATTTGCATTGTCTGTTAATTTGCGTCTGAGGCAGCCACCGCACTTCGCTTTTGATTCTCTGGTGCCTTTAACCCCCCGCTGGCAATGCAGTTTTTCTTTTTTCGATGTCATTTTCTCTTCTTACGAATTACGTCTTATTTTCCCTTTTTGTGCATTTCAAACAAAATATACTCACACACAAATACAAACGTAGCTTTTGTGTGCGCGTCCATTGCGAAATTTCTTTGTTTCAGCGCAAAGAGAATTTATTTATTTTTCTTTCCCTTGTTACATGCATTACTCGCACTCATAACCTTGATTTTTTCCAATTTTTTCCTCTGTGCTTTTTCAACATTTCACTATTTTCTCATTACTGCCTGCGTGAGATAATTATTATGTTTCCTTATTATTATTATTTCTCTTTGTTTAACATCCAGCAATTGCTTACGTTCGTCTGTAGACTTTAAGAGCTTCCGTTGTTTTCCACTTTTGCAGAATGGACGTCATGCCTGCTCGTCGCTCTGCCCGAAGGAGCAATTGCCAGCGCCGGAGGACACGATGTCCTGCAGATCGCCTCGTCTGGTGGAAGTGCCGGGACACTGCTGCAAAATGTGGTTGTGTGAGAATCCCACAGCTGATGGTAAGTGCTTCGTGGGCTGTAGAGCCAATATGCATGGAAGGAGATGCACTGTAAAAATTTTGTATTTATATAAAAATATTGAAATAAGTTTGCAAAAGCAAGCGAGAGGAATATCTGATTATTCACCTACGTCCTTTATTGAAGTCTCACTGCACTGAAGTCGGCTACAACCAGAAAAACAAATTTACATGAGGGATATGTATATTTCAAATCGGTGAGCTTGGCTCAAGGAGAAAACTAACTCAGCAACGTTCAATAATGCAATTCATCCCAGCTAACCTCAAAACTACCACTAACAATTTTTCTGTCGCTATATGTTGGAAAAAGCTATAAGATACGCTTTTTGTGGCTTTCACTAAGAACGTTGGGCCAAAAGATATTAATCTCTTCAAAGCATTTATATAAATACCTTGAATAAAATTAGGCTTTATTACATTAAATTGAAGAAAAATATATATTTAACAATACCTTCTGGGACTCGAGGCTACTAAGAGTAACAGAATAAAGTCAAAGCCAACTTTCAAGAGATGTGCAATAGGAAACGTAAAAAGAGCTTAAGTCTACTAAAGTTATTGGGATAACTAAAGTTATAGTGTTGTTCTGTAAAATACCCAATGCCTTAGCATAGAAGTCTTTTAATCTATGAATTCCTAAAAAAACATGTGTATCTTAACTTAAGTTGACTTAACCTGATTGAACATTACCACATAGTATATACATTAATTGAAAAGAAAAAATAATAAAAGTAAAAAATAATGGCGAAGCTAAATAATAATAGGGCATTACATACAAGTAAAATTACTTAACATTTTTAGAACGTGGTGATACATGCTTCTTATCATACTTATGTATAGGCTAGCATCCACCGAAAACACCACCAAACAGAGTCTTCACGTATACGCAATACCTTCATAAATATGATTGAGCCCATTTCTGTCATTCCCCACTAAGCAATTTTCGAGATATCAAACAATTTCTTCCAGTATAAATTATATTTACTTGCCTAAGTGGTGACAACATCCAACGAAGCTCGTGCTTTTGCGTCGTGCTCCGGCTTTTCGGTAAGCAATCGCAGTTGTACAAATAAAAAAAACAAGGGAGACAGTCAGAAGAATGTACTCAGGCTTGTCTGCAGTCTGGTAATATTCATTTGCCATGACCATTGGCTAAGTAAACGCGAAGGCATTGCTCATTGTGGGCGCAGACAGCTTGAAGCAAGCTACTGGCCAGCCACGGTCGGCTGGGTTGTGGCTGTGGCACTGCCTGCGGCTGTGAAACTTAATGATTTTTAAGGCGAATTAACAAGAAATATTTATGAGCACAAGGCACATGCAAGCAATTTTTGGCAAGACAGAGCTACTCACATTGGCAGTGCGCGTGTTTGGGTATGGGTGTGAGAGAGCATATGTAGGATGGCCAAGGCAATGATAAAGGAGACGTAATTACTCATGCAAGGATAAGGCAATGAAACATTGCGTTGTGATAAAAGCAGAAAAGAAACGAAAGAAATAGGAATTATAAAAGGCATACGAGTGAAATATGGATGGGAAGTGCCTGGTCAATAACTTCTTTCCTTGCTACTTAGAATGATACTTTCTCAGTTTTTAAAAGGGGCCTCACTTTGACCAGTGTGCAATATTGCTTAATGGTCGTGATAAAGATTAATCTTGACATGGAATTTATGCTGCATTCGGTTATTGAGCCTAAGCTTGTGGATATGTAAAAGGTAGTGAATATTTGTGGGGTTAGATAAAATAGGTTCGTTTCCTTAAATGACATTGAAAACGGAATATTAAAATACATACATTTTTAAATCATTATACCAAAGTCAAAAGCTTTTAGAAGTACTTAGCAAAGACTATTTTTTAAGAATTCTTTCTTACAGAAAACATTATCGTAGTGTTCAAACCGTTTGAATTAAATGGAGATGTCATTGGTTAAGAGAGTGTGAAGATGTAAAAAATTACGTATAATTTGATGATCTGAACATTGAATAATTCAATATTGTTTATAGGAAAAGGAGGGCCTTTGAAAATGCTAGTACTTCGAATTTAAGGACTTCCTTAAATAATAAATTCCAAGCCACAGTCTAAATAGTAAAAGTCTTGTGTGAAAAGCTCCAAAATGAAACTCTTAAAACAATCAAGCAAACATTTTAGGAAATAACGATTTCTCTAAACCCTTTGTTTTCGAAATTCTAAAAAGAATTTTAACTTTGTGACGTCTGTTAAAAACCAAAAACACTTACCAGCGTTCAACTGACCTCAGTTAAATTTTTGACAAGCTCTAAAACGAGGTAGAACTAATCTCTTAATAGTTTTGACGACCCGAACAACGATTCAAATCTTTAGAAATATTATAGGAAAATTGCTCGTTGGCTTTGATTTTGATAGCATTTAAATTGCAACCTAAGCAGATGACATCTACATATGTTAGTGTAGGTATACCTGGTACTCATAAATTTGTAAGCTGCAAAATCCTGCTAGTTAAACAATGAGCCTTCCGATGCTGCCGCTTAATGACTAAATTAAATTTAATTACATTGTACTTAAAGACTCATTTTGTTGCATTTTCTGCTATGTTTTTGTATATTTCTTTACAGTATACGCCACCTGCCACAATGCCTCGACCAGCCCGTGGACGCCGTGCTCGCAGCCCTGTGGCCTTGGCATTTCGACGCGCTTCGCCAGCACGAACGCTGGCTGCCGGCAATTGAGCAGCTTGCGATTGTGTGAAAATCGCAAATGTGATCAGAACAATAACAGCAACAATAATAAAAACTATTTACTACCGCCTCAAGAGGCGCAGCAGTTGATGCAAAAAGCCACAGTACAACAGCAACAACAACGACAGCAGCCGCAAAAGCATCCGCACGCAGAGCATCAACGACAACAGCAACAGCAACAAAAACAATTAATTAGCCATAATGTGGCAAACAATTTAGTTGTAAGTGAGCCTAAGGATATTAAGGATATAACAGATTACCATGCCACATTGTTCGGGGCGCATGTGGAGCATCGAATACGCGTAAGTTGAGAAACAATGAGCTGGCAGCGTCTTTGATTAAATTGCTTTTAAAAAATGTGTATTTGTTATGTTTTATTAACCTTAATGTTAAAAAAAAATATATAAATTTTTTTTTTGTGGTGTTTCAAACTTTTTTTTTTTTGTGTTTAAACTTTTCCCTCATTCCATAGTTTTTTTGTTTTGTAACTAAACTTGCTAATTCTAACAAACAAACAACAACAATAATATTAAGAATAACAAAGGAAACCGCAAACTAACGACCCACAGCAGACAATTGAATTTCTCAACTTAACCCAAAAAAGACAAATAGTACCTAGGTATATACTTACAAACATACATGTATTATATATCTATAAGTACTTCCGCTTCCTCCACATTCCCGGCACAACAGAGCGCCTCGGCACCAGCGTGTCATTGTTCTACTTACCACTCACTAACAGCTTAAAAATCTCAAAATCTTTCCACTTTATTACCAGCAAGCATTTTTGCTCACATAGATGTCTGTATATTTACTAGGAGGTTTGAATTTGTTTAGACTCATGTATATATAAGTATGCATATGTATATGTTTGTGTCTTTTAAGCTGGGATGCAACTTTTATATTCTCCCTCTGCAGGAATTAAGTTTATCCTTCTGCGAAAACAAAGTGGATTAAGCTGTCACATTCTGTCTGTTGTCGTCTTGCATTTCCGATTCTCTTTCTTTATATTTGCTTATGGAAATGTTCATTGTTTTAGTTGACAAATTCATTATGTATACATTAAAAATAACTGCAAAATACTTCTTCTTATAAAAAGTCGTTATTTTCCCGAAAATTATTTCTAAATCTAATTCCAGAAAACATAATTACGATATTATAATATCATACAAATATAATAAATAATATATTCTCTGAAGATATTTACACGATTCTCTGAGCGGAAGATTACATTTCGGTGTCTCGACAAAATTCACTCTGCAATTTTGATTGTAAATTTAGTTTTGCTACCTGATGAACACACACAGTCTGGCTTGGGTTACCATCGTCAATATATTCTTTCTATCTTGAACAGGGTATATTAAGTTTTCCATGAAGTTTGTAGCATTCAGAAGGAAACGAATATACACATATATGATCAGCGTGACAATCTGAGTCTACTTAGATATGTCCGTCCCTCTGTATATAGCCGACCTGAAGGACTAGCAGTTTTTGAGATATCGATGCACATATCCTTTATTCGCCAAGAATCTGAAAATTTGTCGAAATTAACCAGATCGGCCCAATATAGCATATAGGGCCCATACAAATTTAACGATCAAACTCAAGTCCTCAAGATATCTTCACAAACTTTGACATAAATTATTGTCCAAAGGAACAAAATAATCTCTAAAAAAATTTTTAGATCGGATGTCATAGCTGTAATACAAACTTAGCGCTTACGAGGAAAGCTTTGTCATTTGACGAATATCTTCAAGAAATTTGGCATAAATAATTTCTCAAGGCAACGGTATACAAGCTGAACGAGCAAAATCAAGTTTTTGTATTAAAACTTTTTTATTTCTAAAAGATATTCGATGCAGCCGAAGTTAACGTTTTTTCTTGTTTTAATTTCCGTAGAAATTATCCAAAATCACTTTTTCAATTAATCAAATTAGATATCTGAAGGAATAAATTATTCAGATGCTTTCAGAAACTACGAATAACTTCAATTATAAACTTTCATTCACAGAAAGGACACGAGTGCCGCAGCTTACAACGCCTCGGACCGGCGCGCATACGTTTGGGCGCTTGCATTTCACGAAAGCTTTATCGACCGAAACTTTGCGGACTTTGTCATCAGCATTCGGGCAAATGCTGCCAGCCATCAGTCTCAACAACTATACAGGTATGTAAACACATTTAAAAGTAATTATGCTTAATTGCATCAGGGGTTTTCAACTGACTAAAATCAAACTTGTGTATACCATAAAATTGCAACAAGAGTTGAAAGAACCTACGGACCTATACGCAATTATGTTACTATTAGGTAGACTAATTCTTTAAAAGCTCTATGTATGAACTTTGTAAAATAGGTGAACAAACCAAAAGCGGAGTATTCCCATTAGAATTGCTTCATGATATAAAAAACGTACTCTCTAACTAAACTTTTCAAATTAAATAGTCGTCTAAATAATCTCCATTAACGTAGTCGATGATTTTTACTACAACTACAGGAAATAACAAAAACAACTTCCACCTACAAAAACACACATTAGCTCTAAAACTTTTGCAATCAATCCATTACGTAATGCATTTGCATTTGCTTTTACCCATTAGGGGCGAACAAAGTGAAAAACTTTCGTTTGTAAAAATTTGCAACAAACTTTTAATAAAACATGAAAAAAATATTTAAAAAAAACACATTTTTGCTTTATTTGCTTTCACAGGTCGAACTGCTATGTCCACTAAACACAGAGGATCCCATCAGCATTGCCGAACAACAACAGCCGCCGGAAGGACAAGCGCCACTGCAGCTCTGGGACACTGTGTCGCTGGAGCCAATCGATCAGGAATTCCTGCAATCACATCAAATACAAATCGAAAATAAATTTATTGCAGTTGAATGGATTTTAAAGTGCGAGTGCGGCAAATATGTGAGTAGAAAATGTGAAAACCCGTGACTTTGATACACGCCTCTTTTGGATTTGGTTTCACAGAATTGGTTAGTGAGTTTGTCAACCGATAAATATAGACATTCTTAAGACAATTAAAACGTAGCTAAGTCCAAACCTAGAAAAGTAAGGATCTTGCTTTCTTATAAATTCCAAGGTAAAATCATATATCCAAATTTAAGATCAACATATCAATACTTAGTTTTGGAACCATTTTCTCCCTCATTTTGGCAAAACCTTTTTGAAGTTTATGAAGTTTAAATACTAACTTTAAGCAATGTCTAGAATTTAGAAATATCGCTGACGAAGTCATCACTTCGAAATAAGCCCAAAATACTTCATCTCTGAAAAAATTCGCTACAATGCTTGTTCGTAGTTTCAGAAGAGCATGAGAAAATCTTCTTTGTTGTAAAGGTCAACATTAGCTATCGTTGAAAATAATATTGTGAACTCAGTCAATATATTACATTTGGAGGAATCATATCACCGAAATCATGTTTTAGAAAACTTATATTTTGCAAGATGTTCCGATATCAAAAACGTTAATATCGGCTGCAACGAAGCTATAATACCCTTAACAGGTTCATTTCTTATAGATTTCTTATAGCAAAAAATATTGGTCAGTTTCAAAGACGCTTTATGCTATAGTGATCCAATCTGAATATTATACAAGGTGCAATTCAAAAGTTTCAGGACTTTTATTAAAAAACGAATATAATTTGTTTTTTTTTTTTTGAAAAATTTATTGGTCGCCTTCAAAATAGTCTCCTTCCGCCTGAATACAACGTTTTGCACGTTGAAGAAGGTTATCGAATGACTTTTTTAGGTCATATGTCGGTATAGCGTTGAGGATGGCGGTCGTCGCCTTTTGGATGACATCAACGTCAGCATAGCGGTTTCCTTTCATGGCCAAATGTAGTTTTCCGAACAAACAAAAATCGCAGGGTGCCATATCAGGCGAATATGGTGAATGGTTGATGATATGAATGCGATTTTTGGTCAAAAAATCTGTCTGATTCTGAGGTCTTTTCGTGTTGTTTTAAAGTGTGCGGAACAAATCGAGCACAAACCTTTCTGAGGCCCAACTTTTCTGTCAAAATACGATAAATCGACGCTGCGGATATTGATAATTCCGATTCCGTATATTTAAACGATGATTTCGGCTCTTTTTTAATGAATTCACGCACAATTTCCATGTTTTTTCGTTCACAACATCTTTTGGCCGGCCCGAACGTTCGTCGTCTTCCAAGCCCTCCCGTCTCTCTTGAAAACGTTTAAACCACCCGTGAATACGGCAACGGGATAGACAATCATCGCCATAAACTTGTTTCATCATTTGATAAGTTTTGGTAAAAGTTTTACCAAGTTTAAAACAAAACTTAATGTTGGCTCTTTGTTCGATGCTCATTTTCCGACCGACACTACAAATGTAATGACACATGTAGCGCGATATCTACAAGTCAGCTGTTATATAAATTTTATACGACAACACTGAAGAATACACAATTGAGGGATAACAATTTCAGACAGATGGCGCCACGTTGTTTAAAAAGTCATGGAAGTTTTCCATACAAGCATTTGATTCCGATCGTTCAGTTTGTATGACGCTTTATACTATAGTGATTCAATCTGAACAATTTCTTTGAAGATTGCATCATTTCTATTCAATTTGTATGGCAACTATATGCTATAGTGTTGCAATATCTGCGGTTTCGACAAATAAGCATCTTCTTAATACTTTATAGGGTCTCCCTGTTCAGGGTATAATTGAACACTTAAGTGATAATTACTATATAAAATAACAGTTGGATTCTCTAAAAAAATAAATATTTTATATTTCAAAAATATTCACCCGAATTTGCTAGTTTGTTGTACAAGCGTGTTCGTGAAATGTTATACGTCAATGAAAAATGTAGATTTTAAACATATTTTTAATTTTTTTTAGTTTGTAAGGAAAATATTTCGATGTATGGCTCGAAACTTCAAAAAGGGAAAAATTTTATTTTACTTGTGGCTCAACCTATTGAAAAATAATAGTTTTGTCCAATACCCAGAACAAAGTGGTTTTTGCTGTAGAGTGTAATTGCAGGATTCAGTAAAATCTGTGGTACTCAACGGCATTAAATCTATATCACTTAACTATTGTAAACCCCTAGCGATACTATTCTTTCTAAAGCTACTTCAATTGTCTGCCACAATAGTGTTTAAAGTAGGCAATAGTACAGGCGCCGAAAAATATGTTAAAATTTAGTATGTGCGTAGTTTCGAAGCGATTGAGTTGGTAAAATTTGATATTAAGATTAATTTGCGTCATAAAAACAGCATTACACCAAGTGTCCCATAAAAGCACAATACAATGACATCACCGCAGCTTAATTGTTTTATTTATTGCACATTAAAATTCCGTAAACACACATAAAAATTGCAAAATTATGAAAGCAGGTGGAAAACGAAGCAACAATAGCAACACAAAATGACCGTTGGAACATAATAAATATTAATACACGCAGAGAACACTGTGAAAGAAGCACATAAAACAAATTGCTACAAGACAATAAAACCTCAATAAAAAATTGCCAACATAAATACAATAAAATGACCGTATACACCCATTAGAAAGTGCAAATTAATATGCATGTTTGAAAATATGGATATATAAATGTGTACGTATGTGCTTACGAATACCATGCTTCAAACAAGCCAATTGTGGCAGGAGCCAGCACTGGTTTATAAGACACTCATAAAAATCACTTTCTCAAACCCCTAACCACATGTTTGCCGGCTCCTAAAGGGTATTTTGCGAGGACAAAGGATTGTTGCCTATATGAAAATTCAATCTTGGCAACAGCAATAAAATTAAAATGAGATAAAGAAGAAAACAACAAAAATACATGGAAAACAAATACCGACGACAAACAAAATGAAAACATGTAATAATGGTAAAAAAATCCCTTGCCATACTTATAAGAGAAACAGGCACAAATGAAATGAAAATCTCATCAATTCAAACACAAATCGGCAAATCGGCAAAAGCAATACGATTTCGCATTGTTTAGAGCGATTCAAGGTATTATATGTAAATGTGGAAAGTTCAATTGAATGGACGCGTATGGATGAAGGAATTTTCAAGGAGAAATCGTCGGCTGGCATAAGAGGGGGTCAAGTAAATGCGATTAAAATGACAAGTGAAAACAATTTCCGTTACAATGCTTGAATAAAAGATGATATGAGGCCACACTCACAAAAGTTGTTGTTGTTACAGTCATACATACATACATACAAACGTACTTACTTAAACTGTTCGCTATGCTGAAAGCAATAGCAATGAAGAGAAAAAGCAAAACGTTAAGGATATTGCTAAGAAGCAGTTTGTAAATGAATGGATAAAGATATGTAAAAGCAGAGAGAAAAGTCATCAGTAAATTGAAAAACACTAACGAACATACATATTATACATTGAAATAAGGGATAGGTATGTTTGTTTTGGTGAGCAAATCTACCAGTAATCGCTGGAATTGGAAAGTATAGAGTTTTTTAAAAACTCATAGAAATTAGTTTTTATTGGAAATTTATTTATAGGCGCGGCTTCAGTAAGTGTATGCTTCTATATAGTATTTGTTAGTGAAATAGTTGAAATCCGAATATACAAGTATATTTTCAAGCTCCGAGGCGCAGATTATGAGTGGCTAGGACTTAGCATACACCGAAAAAATCTCCGCTGTACTTTAGTTCAGCCTCAAAAATTGAATAAATTGAATTATGAGTTATTCCAGAAGCTATATACTAATTATTAGGACTTTCGTTATCCAGTTGACTTTACGCCGATTCTATTGTCAATGTGTGAAATGTCTTTCCACATTAATATTACGATAAAGCACCTTCGCCCAAACGAAAAATTCAATCAATTTTGCCGTCTCCTTACAGAAATATCACATATACATATGTATAACATATATTATAACATTAAATTCGTAATAAATTTCAATACAAATTACCTCTTCATTACAATATTCTAGGAATTTAATGCAAACACAATTTCAGCATAAATTCTCTTCAAATGTGCAAACACAGAAAGCCAAAAGCAATTTCCTATTAATTGACAAGTACCAGTTATTTACTTCTGGTTGCAATTCAAAACTAACCTCATCATGTGCTCAAGATGTTCATATGAGAGTGAAATTAACTGCACAACCAATAGTATTCAATAAATTAATGCTCATATATTTAGTCTAGTCTAATATTAGTACAAAAGTGACCAAAATTTTGCCAGCCAGCCAGTCATAAACAAGTTATACCCAGAATAAGGTATGTATGTACTTTTATTTTACAGAAAGTTTCCGGAAATTGTTGGCCCATAATTCCAGCCGCTTAAGACGAATGTTTTCACGCAAACGCACCAAAACGCTCAAATAATACTCTTTATTAACCGTCTGTCCGGTTGGAACGAATTCATGATGAACCAAACCGCGAAACTTTCCTGTTTTCATCTTACAACATGTTGCTACTGAGTATAATGAACGATTTTAAGACCAAAAACTCGTTCAATACCATCGATCAATCACCGCATTCACCGGATTTGGCCCCATGCGACTCTTTTTTTTGTTTCCAAAACTCAAGTGACCACTCCTTACACGGGTTCCACGTTTCGACTCGATTGAGGTCGTAAAAGAAAAGAGCGAACTGAAGGCGATCCCGGACCCGGATCTAAAAGGCATGTTTCGATGATTGGAAAAAGAGGTGGCATATGTGTATCGCTTCAGAAGGAGCATAGTTTGAAGGCGACAAAAGAAATATTGATGAAGATTAATAGCTTAACGTTTTATTTACAATTTCCGGAAACTTTTTGGTCTTCATATATATTAAGCTTTCCAAGCAATTTGTAACACCCAGGAAGAAACGTCGAGGACTCTATAAAATATGTAGCATATGTATAGGTCCGTTTGTCTGTATATGTATATGTACGAATAAAATAATAATATGTTTGGAAGAACTTAGAAAATAGTTCACTCAGCAAATATGAGCACTTTTTGAGAATTTGTTTTTATACAAATCCTAACCAGTTCTAGATCGACTTTCAAATTATTTAGAGCACTTTGATACTCCACAAAAACCGTCGAACGAGTAGATTCTGAAAGGTCAAAGTATATGTCCTTATTTCTTATTAAGCTCTAATTGCACACAGAGACACAACTGCTTGCAAAATTTAATACAGTTAATTATGTGAGTGGCACGCTCACTACATATGAGCAGACAGAAAAGGCGAGAGTGTTTCAGGAAATTGTAAATCTGCTGTCATTCAACAGTTGATCTGTTGCAAATTACAAAATGTTGCTAATTTGCAAAATCCCACCGATTTATGAGCTGCATAATTCGACTGCTAATCACACCGAAGATAACTAATTTAACAGGATTTCAAAGTGTGGAGAGTCATGTGGTTACAACTTCGATACGTATATATATGGTATGTGCTCTCATGATATCAGCGCAAACAAATGTGTATGCAAATGAGTAAATCTGCATTTTGATTGAATTAAAGCCCACCAACACACTCATATACATGTGTGTGTGTGTAATGTTATCAGTATGCAGACAGTACGAAACTAATTAATATTAATTTTGAGGATCATTTGCAATTACTCTTACGTCTAACAACATATTGAGTTTTCAATTCTATTTCAGCCAATGTTTGTTTTGCCAATACTCTCAAGTTCAATTTAATGCAGGTGATATAATCTATTTAATATGCGCAAATTAGCAACGAATATACATACACACATACAAAGCTTAACCTGATCTTAATGAAAATGTATTGCAAAGCGCTGGTAAATGTATTTAAAGATTCGATTAACCTTACCACAAATGTGGTTGAGTTTATCCCTGCAAAGATTCTCGTGAACATTTCAATCAATTCCTTCGAATTATTGATTGACGTGGACAAATGATTAGTGTTTAAGGGTGACGATATTTTAGTAATTAATATATCTAAGTACATACCTAAAACTAAATTTATACAAATCCAAAAACGATAGGAATCGACAGCTCAAACGGAAAGTCGATGCGTCTTTTTTTCGAAAGTAGTGGTCAAAAATTATGATTTTATCTTTTCGAATAAAACTGTGTTAATGTTGAAAACAGGCAATCTACGCAAAAATACAGAATATGCCAATTGCTAAGATAAATTACTAAGATAATAGAAGTAAACTCATATTTGTATAAGTATAATACAATTTCTTATTTCATATCTAATAGCTACATATATATCTATCTCATGACTAGCTTTGAGACCAACAAACCCTCAATATCGGCATTACTCGTATAAGAGATTATTGTATTATCATTTTTCGATCTTAATAGATGTTTACAAAAATATATTATGTAAATACTTATGAAGCAGTGGTGCCCTTTTTTGATAAAATAACCAGTTTAATATATATTGAGCTAGAGAACAGTTTGAACTAATTTAATCTATTTTTGCCACAAACTATACATAAAAACCGTCGCCGCTTCTTTAATTAATAAGCTGAAATTTCCCGGGCCCAACAAAGAAAACACCGTTTTTATACTCTCGCAACCTGTTGCTACAGAGTATATTAGTTTTGTTAACCTAACGGTTGTTCACCTAAAACTAGTCGAGTTAGATATAGGGTTATATATATATAAATGATCAGGATGAAGAGACGAGTTGAAATCCGGGTGATTGTCTACCCGTCCGTCCGTCTGTCCGTCCGTCCGTGCAAGCTCTAACTTGAGTAAAAATTGAGATATCTTTATGAAACTTGGTAGACATGTTTCTTGGTACCGTGAGACGGTTGGTATTGCAGATGGGCGTAATCGCACCACTGCCACGCCCACAAAACGCCATTAATCAAAAACAAATAAATTGCCATAACTAAGCTCCGCAATAAGATACAAGACTGTTATTTTATACACAGGATCACATTAGGGAGGGGCATCTGCAGTTAAATTTTTTTTTTTAAGTGGGCGTGGTCCCGCCTTTAATAGGTTTAATGTGCATATCTCCTAAACCGGTAACGCTATAATAACAAAATTCACTGGAAGCAAATGTTTTTAGCACTTCTATTGACGGTGTGAAAATAGTTGAAATCGGGTGGCAACTCCGCCCACTCCCCAGATAACGGTACTGTTAAAAACTACTAAAAGTGCGATAAATCAAGCACTAAACACGCCAGAGAAATTAAATTTTATCTCTGGGATGGTATGAGATGACTTTATAGGAACCGCGTTCAAAATTAGACAGTGGGCGGTGCACAGCACACTTTTAGGTGAAAACCCATATCTTGAGATCTGCTTAACCGATTTCAACCAAATATTCGGTGCGTAACGTTCTTGTAACACCATTTTCAATTCCATCTGATTCTTTCACTTTCCACTATGCAAATCAGGTAACAATGATTATATCGGGGTAAAACTTTGCGTGAATAATGCAATTAAAGTATGCCACCTTGCGGCCAAAAATTGTCTAAATCGAACCAAAACTGTTCAAACCCCTAAGTACTAAATATGTGGACCCCAGTGCCTATAGTTGACCTTCTACCGAAAATATCAGTCAATCCACAAATAAATCTCAAACGAGTATACCATTTGACTTTGCGAGAGTATAAAATGTTCGGTTACATCCGAACTTAGCCCTTCCTTACTTGTTTTGTTTAAAATTGGCATTATTCGTCAATATAATCTCCATCAAGAGCAACACAATCATTCCAGCGGTGCTCCAACATTTTAATACCACTTTTGTGGAACGATTTGTCTTTTGACTCAAAATAGGCCTCAGTTTCAGTGATAACCTCTTCATTCATTTGAGGTCTGCGAACAACCAATAGTCGTTGGAAGCCAACTCTGGAGAATAAAGTAGATGGGCAGTAACTCAAGGTGCAATTCATGCATTTTTGTCATTGGTTTGATTGACTAGTGACACGGTGCGTTGTCTTGATGAAACAAAATTTGTTTCTTTTCCATATGCAGTCAATAACGCTATATTATGGTCACTATTGATGGTTTTTCCTTCAAGATAGTCGATAAATATTACACTTCTGATATCTCAAAATACCGAGGCCATAACCATTCCAGCTTATTCTTGTACTTTCGGGTACTTTGGACGAGGTTCACCAGCTGCGGTCCACTCAGATGACAATCGTTTTGATTCCGGAGTAAAGTGATGGGGTCAGACTTACCATATATCGACGCAAAAATTCCTGTTTGTTACATTGAAACATGACCAAACACTGCTAAGGATCATCAACTCGTTGCTGTTTTTGGTCAACAGGCCGCAAACGCGCATGCAATATAAAGCCAACAATTTATTTTGAAAACCTTACGATGTCAGCTATATCACGCAACTTCACTTTCCGATCATTCAGAACGATTTTGTGGATTTTTTTATTTTTTCTGGTGTTACAGCCTCATTTAGACGCCCACTGTGTTGTGCATCATTGGTGTCTCTATGACCACGTTTGAAGTCAGCAAACTAACGTTTTGTTGTGTTTTCTGATGGTACTGAATCCCCATACACTTTTTAAGCCATTGCTTCGCTTGAACGGTATTTTTTCCCATAAAGAAGCAGTGTAAAATTAAAACACGAAATTTTTTATCATCCATTGTTTTCAAAATAAAAAAGTAGCGTCACTCTTAGCACAATAACTCGCAAACTAATGAATAGAATGCCAGCTGTCTTTTAAAGGTTATTACTAATTGAAAATGAGATGAATTCAATCTCACTAGCGCCATCTACGTGTGAGGCCCGGGACTTTTCAGCCCATGTGTTAAACCGAACAGCTGGTCAGCTCAAGCAGTTCCGTTCAACCAACTGCTCGAGCAGGTTGTTATAACAGAGAACTTAAATGAATTCATTTACATTCTCCGGTTGTACCACCGTTATGTTGAAATATCACAAATAAATGATGAGACATACTCCATTTTCATTACCAACCATCTCAGAGTGATAGGGACGAAAGACAGCTTCAGAGTATATGCCATAGAAATTGAGATCAACAATCAATCTGAGTTCTTCAATATTATTTACAAATCTCGTTAGCACTGAACTGGTTACTGGTTAGTCATAAAATTTCAAATCCTTCACCACTTTAGTACCTACAAACTAGAAAAAAATGCTTATAGCAAGAAATAAGATTATATAAGCGCCTTGAACCTCCTATCCATCTCGCCTAGTCTCAAATTTTATGGTCAATCAATTTTTATGATTAATATAAATGGAAACGCAGGCTAAATTGAACACGTGTATATGTCATCATAACGCACCGATATAAATACATATATTCTTACATATATACTCGATTGTATTTCCTGACGAAAATTTTTTAGACGATTTAGCCGATTGAAGCTATAAAAATGTTATTCTCCTTTTTTCGATTACTGGATGCTGAAATTAAACACAATGGCAAACACAATTTTAACTGTCTATTCTTTCTTTATTCTCTTCCTCTCTTCACCGCCGCTCCGCATCATTGCCGCCCATTGTTGCCACAATTCGGTTGAATAGGAAAATTGCAACAACCTGCACAAATACACGACAACAATGCACAATGGCACCGGCAACAATAGCACCAGCAATAACCACAAAAGCGCACAGCAAGGTAGCAGCAACAACAAGAATAGCAACAGCAGTAGAAATACCGTTAATAGTTGGCGCGCAAGTGCCACTCTTAGTGACCGCAAACATAATAAAAATGTGGCGACAAATATTATCAGTGAAGCGGCACGCAATAACAATGACTATGCGTACAGCAGTAACAACAATAACGGCAATAACAAGAGCAACAACAAGAATAACAATGCCAACATAAGTGGCGGTGGCAATAACATGGGAAACATGGCAAACAGCAACGAGCAAAACATTGCGACGGACAATGACAGTGATAATCGCTATGTGCAACAACAAAAGCAACAACAGGAAGAGGAAGAAACCTCACAGCAAGGGCATTTAGTGTCGTCGTCGGGTGAACTGCAACCAGACATTATACCGTATCCGGCCATGTTGCCGCCACACCGCAGCAATCCAGTGGAAAAAAGCTACCAAAGAAACCAGGCGAACAACAACAACAACAGCAACGAGATTCACAGCAACTATGCAGAAGGTCGGGGTGGGGAGGGCAGCAATATGCACACATTTGACAGCAAGCGTGCGAACAGTGAACTCAACAGCAACAACAACAATGACAATATACGGCGTACGGAAAGTGTTGCTGAACCGAATAAAAGTAAAGCTGTTGCTGGTTTTGGTTTTTATAACCGTTATGACGATGCAGGCGACGATAATAGTGCCGTTAAACAGATTCAGAGCGTTGAAAAACCGAACGAGCGCGAAGTAGGACAACAGAACACACTTGAGGAGGAACAACAAAAAGAGGATCAGCAACTGCTGCAGTGGAAGTTTGAGAAAAATTTGCATTATCAGCAGCCGCGGCAGTCTGCATTGCCAACAGAGCCAGACGCACATTGGTCACCACATTACACACATCGTCACCATCAGCTGAACCATCTCCAGCATCATCACCATCACCATCAACATCAACACCAACATCATCTATACCATCAGCAACCTGATCAACAGCATGAGACGCATCCACAGCCGCAGTTGCAACACCGTCTTTGGCTTGAACAGTTGGGGGAACAACAGCAACAGCAACAACAACAACCGGAGCTGCACGCGCTACGCCAACGCAGCACATAACAACGTAGACGAGCACCACAAATGCATCGTCAACGGTGGCCGCCACGCAAAGGACGAGGCAAAAGGAAAAAGACCAACCATGGAGTGGAACGACGCAGCCACAGCGGGACTATAACGGCGAGGGACGCGGCTGGTGGTGTGTTTGCAATAGGCACACAAGTGGGCATTTCATAAATAAATTGCGGCGACAAACTGATAAGCCGGTGCAAAAGCAACAAAATTATGCGACGCGTTGCAAGCCAAACGTGGAAGAGACTCTCTAAAGCAAATGAATGAAAAAACAACAACAGATAAGCAATGAAATATGTGAGCGTGTGTGTGCATGTAATGGGAATAAAAATCGACGAAATGGTGAAGGGACAACAAAAGCACCAACAAACACCACCCGACAACCGTGCGACGCACCAACGTGTAGTGTTTGTGCAGTGCATTGACAGGATAAAGCGAGCAACGAAGCGAGCAACCGACAGACAGACAGACTGTGATACAGCGACGCACCGGCGGATGAACACTCAAAGCGACCGGCAACAACAGTTGCAATTTTTGCATATCACAAAGCAAATAAATTTTTAATTTCCCACGCCTCACAAAAAAATGTCATGCAATGTTTTTCAGACAAAGTATAAACACTGTAGCAGCAATAATAACAAACAACTTTGCAAAAGAAAGAGAAGTAAAAAGAAAACCAACAAGTTATCGTGTAAAAGTTGTCGCTACAACGAACAGACAACATAACCGAACACCAAAACAAATAAATTGACGAAATTACTGAAAAAAGAGACAGAAGTAAGCCGTGTGCTCAGTGTTAGGTTTACATCTGTTTGCTGTCACCACTTTTTCTGTTTTAAATTTTCAGTGTTTTTTAAAGTTCGTGTTGTGATAAACACGGATGTATATGAGGAGCCTACACACCATAGTGATAGACTGTCATCAAAATATCTGAAAGTCAAAAGTCCACAGCGCCATTCTGGTAATGCTATTAATTTTATGAACCCGGGTATAAATATGGCATTTAACGAAATAAAAAATATAAACTAGGATCTAGCTATGCAATCCCGCCAGCGTCGAATATTATTAGTATATCCAAAATGCGTGATAGTTTACATTGCTTAATAGAAATATGAATTTGTAAAACAAATATCCCAAACATTAGTGACCAACTTTTCTTTTCATTTCCATTTTTTTTCTACCCAGTATGTAACTTAATTCCTTATAAAGTTTTAGACAAGATTCTAGTTCAACTAAGAAACATATCCTGCACCAAAAGCAGATACCCACATATCTTGATTGCTAACTACGAGTTTTTTTTTTATACATATTAGATTTATGGCATATAAGATGTCTTTAGACCTCCTTAAAGATCTATTTTCCCTTTAACATATCAGTAATATTAGATAAGTATTTGAACATTTCATAGTGCAATGGATTAAGGGCACTTAATCTGCATATATATACATACAATTTCATCCGCGTTATATATGGCGAGGTCTTTAGAGAGGGAGAAAGAGAAAGAGAAAGAGAGCGAGAGGGAGAGAAAGAAAGATATGGAGGGGGATTTGAGCGAAACTTGAAACAAAATATTTTAGGTCTCTATAAAGGATGGCTTTCAACACGGATAAAGCAGGTTTTTATTATGATAAGCACTGATCACAAGCCGATCAATGAAATGTTGACTGTCTTTATTATCTCGCCTAATAGATGTATTCAGGCATTTACATCTATAAATTCCGTTCAATTGTTTTTTCAAAGATTCACAACCATTAAATTTATATATATATATTTCTTCGATTCGCCGAGCATTAGAGAGTAGCTCACTAATATTGTTGTCGCTTTCATATGTAAATTTGAAAGAGAGAGAGAGAGAGCGGCGCCCAAATATACCATAGCGAGCAGAGAAATGACAAATCGAATACGCTAATAATAAAGATTATGTGAAAAAACCATATCGAGTATGTGAGCTCTCGCAGCATGCGACAGAGAGTACTCATACAGTTTGTCTCATGAGTTAAGCGAAAAAGGAAGAAATAATTAATTGTTGGATCTGAATATTAGGAATGAAAGTAGAAATCGCTTGGATGAATATAAAAATAAGCTACTATACTACAAATACACAAAATAACTGTATTTAGTTACACATGTGTGTATGTGATAACTCGAAAATATAAGTACTATGCGAAAATGTATAAATATTAGTTGAATAAAAAGAGAAAAATTAAAAAAATTAATTTTAAGTGCAAAAACAACTAAAATAACTTAAATATAAATAAACTCAAAAATAATAATAAAATGCACAAAACAGCTAAAAATGAAAGTAAATATTTTTGCGAGCAAGCCTATACATAAACAATTGAAACACTAACCACATTAAGCTAAATAATTAAAGAAAACTAAGTTAAACAAATAAAACTAAAAGCAGCAAATTTAAAATAACGCCAAAATTCAAGAAAACAAAAACAAAATTAGGTAGTTGCAAGTTAAGAAATAAATTTAAGCTAACTGTAAAAAAGTTTAGACATAAGAAATAATATTGAAAACTTAAATTAAATTAAATTCAGTAAACACACATCAATTAGAAAAGAAAAAAAAAACAAGTTGAATTTTCTCTTACAACCAGCCGAGAGTTGTTGGCCTGCAATTCGAGCGTAAACTGATCTAAATTGTCTAAACGAAAATTGTAAATGCATTATAAGAGCAACATCAATTGCTATTGGATATGAACTGTATAAACGTTAATTATATATTTGTATGTATGTATGTATAAGCATTATATGTATTTATGTATATTGTGTATGTACTGGCAATGTGTTCGACGTATATACTTACATACATATACCTACAGCTAAACTTGTGAAGCTACTGCTGGTGGTCAAACAGAAATTAAGTGAAATTTTTCAAAACCGTGAAACCAAACAGAAAGAGAGGGAGATAGCGAATAGGCAACACAAACAAATTTTGAATTTGAAACAAAAAACAGAGTACTAATGAGTGTATTTTTTGTGGTTGCCCACTAAGCTACTTATACCGAAAGAATGAAATCTAAACTACTACATATCTACATATACATATTCTATATCTGTGTATCTATGTGTACTAATAAGATGCCTGGCATTCGCAAAACGATTAGCAAATGCATACTTGTAAGCATTCATTATTAGTTTTTCGGTTTCGAAACTCAGAATTTTTCTCTCAGTGCAGCGCCTTAGTTCGCTCATCAACTTTATTGATGAAGCGTTTTTTGTGTAGCACACATATTACCATTTCCTTTTCACCGTTATTTACTTAGTCTTTATTTCCGATGTGATGAAAAATATTATTCAGTTCAATAAAAGGCGAATGTAAGAATATTTTAAACAAAATATGCGTAAACTTTGTTTTCATTGAATAGCTTCGAGAAAATGTAAGTATTTATGATTATGCATTATCGAATAAAACTTTATGTAATTTACTGCATGCCACATTTCAGAAATTCACCGCAGGTACTCAATTCCTTTAAGAATTATCTTTTTTTCATTTCTTTATTATTGAATCTGCTTGTTTAAAGCCTAATAATAGGTAATAAAATTATATCTATTTAAATAAGCTAAATCAGCTCAAGATTGCGGTTGAGCCTTTTTTCTAATACAAGCATAGCAAACATGTTTCCCAGCCTCATCCCTCTCCATCTACTCGGAGGAGTGTCGCCAAAATACCGTCTGAATTCCCTTTGAACGGAAATGGCTGACTGCAAAGCATGGTACCGCGACAGCATCCAAACCCTCTTTTCGGTGTCCCAAGTATTTCAGTTTTAAAAAATTTAAAAATTAACCTGCCAAACAAAAAAAACTAAATCGATTACTCACACTGCAAAAAGTTATTATTTTTTGTTTCGTGCGCCACCCTGTACTTTGCTTTTTATAAGGCTGGTAAATTTTTTTTTTTTAACAGGTTTGATTATAAAATTGCAGCAACTGCATTAGCTTATATATTTCTATGTTCCCGGAGTTTAAGTTTGCATTTCTTTCTGATTCTCTCTATTTCCGTAAGAATACCAAGACCTTCGTAAATGTTTTCATTTCGAATGTAACATGGTGAACCCATTATCGCTCGAAGGATTTTTACCTCTGTATTATGTCCATGTTGAATAACATACATTGAAATCGGCTTTATTACCGCCTTGTATAGCAGAACTTTGTAGTCAAGGATAAGTTTTGAATTGCTATCTAAAAGCTAGTTTAAATATGCTGCTCTTATTTGCATGCTAGTTGTTTGGCTGGCTATAACATATGTGAGCCTTCTGTCCAAGTGTATGCCTAGATAAGTTACATAATTCGCTTGTGGTACTTAGATATTAATCTTTTCAATCGGCTGACACATTTTTCGTCCTATTGGAAATGTAAGATGCTTACACTTTTGTTCATTTACATTTATTCGCCAGTTGGCTAGCCATTCTTCGACTAAACTTATTGCTCCTCTAGTACCCTTGACACTCTAAAAGGACATTTATTACGACATACTAAAGCTGTGTCATCCGCAAAAGTGAATGTCAATACGTTATTATCTGTTGGAATATCTGCTGTATGTGAGATACATAGAGTTCGGTCTTGTACACTAGCCCTTATCAATCGTTAATCAGATATGAAATTTACTACTTAAACACTAAATTTCTTTCTTTTTAATTAAAACTCTAATATTTTATTCAATTAAAAAACCAATATTGTTTTATGAAATTTTATAAAAAAGACTGTAGTGCCACACCTATGCGAAGATTGCTAAACAATACTCTATGTGCTCCAATGATTTTCTAATTTCGGTGGTTATTGTATTTACTTGTTCTATAGTGTCAAGTTTTGCTCGAAACCTTAATTGGTGCATGGGAATTACATTATTTTTACGGAGGAAAGGAGACACCTTTGATAGTAACACTTTTTCGAATTTTTTCGATTATCTGATTAATAACTGATACCGCAGCAGCATTCGCCGAAGGTTTCGGAGGTAAACTATATTTTCAGATAGCAAAGAGAATTATCGTCTGATAAAATTTTACCATATACTTTTTCGTATATGTAGATTGTTGCACAGGTTTGGCGCCATATTTATAAGCCCACATCTCAGCTACATTATAATGGATCTCTTTTGCGACCTATCCTCGACATTGGTTTTGCAAGAAGTTCAGGTATTTTGGTACGAGTCTAGCATAGACACGCTTTATACCCAACACATTAACCAAAATTTGTTGAGAGGATCTACAAGAAATGTTGAGATCCTTTGCTGTCTCTTTCATGCCAACATGACGATTTTCAAGCCCTCTTTCTTTAACTTTTTCTATCATTAACAGTGGTTGATTGACGAGTCGCTCGTCCCAAAACCAACTCGTTCCACAACATTTTCAATGATTTGGTTATCGACCTTTTTGTTGATTGAAAAGTCATGTTAGTTAATTTGGTCAATAAAAAGTTATATAACTACTTATTAACCCGATCTAAGTTCAATAAGTAACACATGGAGACGTATATCTAAATCACAGAACTCAACTTTAACAATAAAACAGAGAAACAAATCGAAACGAAACATTTTGATATAAATATTAGCAAAGCTCAGTAGTTTGCTTACTTGTATTAGTAATTCTCTATATATTTGTAAACATAATCTTCAAAGCATTAACTATCAAACAGTATTCCCTAAAAAAGTCTAATATGCCTGCATTCGGATCCATCCATCCATCTATATTGAATTTCTTCCCTTTATTTTCCCTTCATTTCAAATATTTGGAATAATGATAATAATTTCTATATTTGTTTCCTAATAACCTTCTCATACTTCGTCCTTTTCTTTTATTTAGTTCGTATTTGCCTTGCTCTATATAAATATATACTTATATTCTCACAGTGCGTTGACCGCCGGCTTCGCCCAATGGCTGTGATAATTTCTTGTCAAAACTCATAAATTATTAACAACCCTATGACTTCGTTCCTGTTTCATTCACCTGCCCTTCACTGCGGGCCATCAACAAGCATTTGGTCGTTACGCTTGTCAATCATTTGCCATCTTCTGTGTCTTTGTTCTGTGATTATTCACTTGGACAACCCTAGCGTCCACATCCTTTGTGTCAGCTCAGCTCTGTCTGGCTATATGCTGGTATCTAATCATTTTTGTCGGTAAATCATTTCACTACTCAATTATGACATTCACATTTAAGTGTGTATGTGTGATATGTGTGTGTGTGTGCATTCCTTCATAAGCTGACTCTTGTCATTGAGTGGGTAAATAAAATCCTTGGAATTGTTGATTCAAGAAAAATTCGAGTATTTCTGGATGTCATTGCTTATTTGACCCTCGTATGACCACTGCTCGCATAGTAACTGTATACTGTATTCGTATATATGTATGTATGCTGCGCTGAGTGACAGCAGACGGAAAGTGGGTTTATTGAGTGAATGATTGTGACATGAATGACAGCCGATGCAGCAAGTGATTAGGGAAGTAGTTGCAGGAACGTCTGCTTTCGTCCATTGTTCTCGAATTCCGGCAACGATCCATCAAAGCATACGCACTCGCTGTTATTAATACTCGATCAGTCATTCACTCGCTTACTCTGCTTTGGTAGGTTTACATTTCATTGTTTGCAAATAAATTCAGCACATTTTCAAATGGCTTTTAATCAACTAGTTGAGGTTGCTTGGTTTAGTTAATATTACCTCAAATATTCAAGGATAAGGATTTTAATATTTTTGATTTTGATGCTTCCTTCAAACATACACATACATATCTATGTACATACATTGTATGTATCATTGTATTATCAACTTATATTAGATAATGAAAGGGTCTACGATGTAGTTGGATGAATTCATATATATAGGCAGCTCAATAAATATATACAAGTATGTATACCTATATGACTTTGAAATCCCTAGTTTAGATAGCAAAAACTCAAGTCAACATAACCTAACAAATATGCAAATATTTTCACAAGAGAATTTTTAAACTCATGTTACAAGAGAATAATATTGTAGTTTCATTCAGATAGATACGAGTTATATATATATTATTGATCAGGAAGGCGATACGAGTTGAATTTCTAGTGACTGTCTGCCTGTCCAACCGTCTGTCCTACTTGTATATGTCCACTTCCCATATAACGGTTATGTTGAAAACTACTACGTTAAATGTGCGATAACTCAATAAATAAAAGCGTTAGATATACTAAAATTGTCTCCCTATCATCTGAGGAAAAGCTTTATCAAATCAAGTACAAATGATAGTATCGGGATAAAACTTTGTACGAATAGTGAACCCCAGTTCGCATATAGCGGTCAACCTGTCTTAATGAAATTGAAAGTTTTATAAAAAAAAAATAACACATCTAAAATATTATTATTATTATTATTATAATTACAAAAAAAAATTTGATGATAGATAAAATACAAATTAATTAACCTGTCTCTAGAAAACACAAACTCTTCTCTCAAACTCTCAAAATGATTTATTTGAAGAAGAAAAATCTATATAATTGAGTTAAAATTTTTTTTTGGACAAGAAAAAGTTATTTTTGATTTAAACTCTTTACATTTATATAAAAATTACCGAATGTGACGGTTTTTGACGCAAAATTTATTTTAACGCTTAAGGAAAGTATGTTGTCGTTTAAGACTTTTCTTTAAAACTCGAATAATGGCCACACAAATTTTTTTTAAATTGATAACTTTTAATTGGCTAGAAAGTGAACTCTCCACAGCTTCTAGAACACTTATCAGAAATGAAAATTTTAACTAGAAAATATACTTTATAACTGAGTGAGCCGCCGCTTGATGTACAATTTTTTTTTTTTTTGTAAAAAAATTTAATTTTTTTATAATCTACAAATTTTACCCTCATGCTAAGCAAACAAAAAAATTTTTTTTTTCGATCCACCCTATTATACATACTACAAGTATATTCCCTATCAACAAATCAAACACACGTGCTGAATGTTCTTTCAGCAGCATAGGTATTTACCTATAATTCTCTCACGATCTCTCACCTTATGAATATCGAACTGAAGTATTGCATTCGATATTCATTATCAGAAGATATTAGTTTATTAACTGTTACAGAGACTACTTCAACGTTCAAACAGCGTCAAGTATTGTTAGTTGCTCAGTGGGTGCTGAATTGAAAACGTTTGTGTAGTTCGATATCTCCTAAGCTCGATAATCGCAAAGCGATAGTCAGGCAGCTACAAAAATCATAACAATCGGTGCATCAACGAAAGTGAAAGACATGAAATCAAAACGTATTGTGATTATCGGTGCTGGCGCAGCTGGCATAGCTGCAGCGACACGTCTGTTGGAGTCAGGCTTCGAAAATGTTCTGTTACTTGAGGCTGAAAATCGTTTTGGTGGGCGCATTCACACCATACCTTTTGCGGACAATGTCGTCGATTTGGGAGCACAGTGGTGTCACGGTGAGCAGGGCAATACAATCTATGAGTTAACGCGCGATTTAGATATGCTGCATCCCACGGATGAAATTGAAGGTGACTTTAAGTGCATACGCTCCAATAAGGAAGTGGTCGCCGATGTCGTGATCGATAGGCTCAGATCAATTACCTCCAATTTAGAGCCAACACAACAGAAGGGCTTGAAAGATTATGAGGGTTCATTAGGCACCTATCTCACGGAAGCATTCTGGCGCAATCTGCAGCCGTTGACTGATGTCGACAGGGTCGTAGCGCGTGAATTTTTTGAGAACTGCAAGAAAATGTTCAGTTCAATGGACGGTGCCGATCATCTGTTTGAGGTATCCGGTAAGGGTCAACACGAGTATCTGGATTGCGAGGGCGATCTGCATCTAAACTGGAGAGATAAAGGTTTTCGCAGCTTTCTGTGTTTACTAATGAAAGCCGATCAGGCCGATGCGTTCGACTTGGGACTACTGAACGAACATATACAATACAACGCACGTGTTGAGCATATTGAGTGGCAGTCGCCAACAGGAGATATACGCATACGCCTTTGGAATGGCGAACTTATCCTTGCGGATCATGTCATCTGCACCGTTTCACTGGGTGTGCTCAAGGAGATCCATCAGAAATTATTCATACCGCCGCTGCCACTGGTTAAATGTCGAGCTATTGACGGCCTCAAACTAGGTACAGTAGATAAAATTTACCTCGAGTTCAAGGAACCGTTCACGCCGCTAGAGTGGCCTGGTTTTTCATTACTGTGGCGTGAGGAAGATTTAGTGGAGTTACGAAATACAGGGTACTATTGGCTTGAGAGTCTCTTTAGCTTTCATCGCGTTTCGTGTCAGCCTCGCCTGCTGCAAGGTTGGATTATTGGGCAACATGCGCGACACATGGAAACTTTATCCGAAGCTGAGGTATTCGATGCTTTGCTGTGGCTTTTTAAGAAATTCTTCACATCGGAAGTGCCTACACCAGTGAGATTGCTGCGCACACGCTGGTATACTAACCCCAATTTCCGAGGCAGTTACTCCTTCCGCGCCATGTATACTGAAGAAGTTAAAACAAGCAGCTCGGACTTGGCGATACCGATCCTTGATGAAAAGGACGGCAGGCCACTGTTGCAATTCGCCGGTGAAGCTACGCATCCACACTTCTATTCGACGGCTCATGGTGCGGTGGATAGCGGTTGGCGGGAGGCGCAACGTTTGATTACGCACTATCTGGATCACAACCCGCACTTGGAAGAATAGTTCGATAGCACTAAAAGCACGTGCCGCCGGACGCCGTAGCGATAGTATAAATGGCGATAGCGATAATTGTGGTGATTGCCGATTGTAGTAAATAGGACAATATATAATATTTATTATTGCACTTGAAATTTAGTTTGTAATAGTGTAGACCAAAATCAATATCTTATCTTGTTCGATTATAAAACCACTTTGTTAAAAAACACTGTTTCAAAGTTTATTTACGTCTAGTGATTTTTAAGTACAAATACGTCATCAGTTGAGTTATAGTCCGAAATCTTTTGTGGTACAGTCTTTTAACTCATGCTAGTACTACATACATATATTGGCTGAAAAGTCGGTGGCCTAACAATAAAGAATTGTTCTGTTAAATTAAAGTATGATTTTATTCTTGGATATAATATCCATCTAAAGTAACATAGTACCGGTTGTAATTGTTCTAAAAAATTTGGACACAGTGCCAGAAGCGTGAAACTTCAAAGCCCTCACAATACGACATTTCATCTTCGCTTCCACATTTGAGTTACTTATTTTCGAGTAAGCCACTTTTTGAGTCTGAGAAAGAGGAAATAGTAGCTGAGGGCGAAATCTGTTGAATACGGTGGCTGAAGGACTAGTTTAGTGGATTTGGGATTCCAATAATACTACCGAACTCACTCAAATTCGTTTTGCGATATGCGATCAAAGTTGCACTCTTAGCGCTAGCTTTTGTATTGTTAAAATTGCAGAGATAGTGTCAGTTTGAGTTGTTTGGTGGCATCTCTCAGTCAGGCGAAGGACTCTTCAGACCGCGCATAGAGGCTTATTTTCAATATAAAAATTATTTATTTAATTCAAACTTTTTTCTGTCTTAAAGATACACATTAAAAGAATAATTTCTGAGATTTAAAAAAAAATTAAAACTCCTAATTGAAAAATAAAAATCCTTCGTCCAAACTTTGGCAACCGACTTTGACTTCACAGTTTCGAGAAAAACGCGTTTAAAGTTTTAAGTGACTATATAGCTGATCTCGAGCGCGCAACTTTTCAAAGCTGTATCTCCGAAACTATAACAGGGATCAACTTGAGAATTTAGGACAATATTGTAGATATATTATAGAATTAAATAAGATAATTAGATTTTTTTTTTGTTTTTTGAAACCGTGAAACCCATGTAACCCCTTAAATAGAACTTAATCATATCTACATCTGCGAAAACAAAGTTCATTACGGTGGCTTGATGACCTTTACAAATAATCTACGAAAATTTAAATAGCCCGTTTTCTAGGTTTTGACTTTTTGTTGACATTTTAACGTATGGGTCAATTTAACTGATTATTTGAAAATAGGTTATCCATAAAAATCGTTGGGTATTATTAGAAGATTAAATCGAATTAAACACCATTCTTTGAAAATAAAAAATTATGAAAGTAAACAAGTAATAATAGACTAGTATTACCAAAAATAACTTTTAGGCAAATAAAGGAGAAATTTCATCAAAAAACGCATTCTTTACTAGCATCTTTGGATACTTTTATGCCATCATTTCCTTTAAGTCTTACCTGCTAGCTTTACATTGCCATTCCAAAGCAAGAAAGTTAAGCATATAATCAAATCAAATCGTAATCAGAAAATGAAGGTAAAAATCAATAAATGCCTAAAATTACGGCAATCAAATAAAAATTAGTCATCAAAAATGTATGGTCTCCATCATTAGAAAGGTGTACACAAGTAGTACTCTGCGCGTCCAATATTGGTGCTTCAGCGATGAATGAGTGATTGCACATAATGGGTGTTGAGATGTCATAAAAATAAAGAGTATAATATAAATAATAATAACCGGTTTGTTTGGGGTAATTTTCCGCCTGGCAAGTGCCACAATCATTGGGCCAGTAAATATCAGGAGAGCCATATAATTTGGTGCGGCGTTTATTTATATTTTTCATTCGCTGCTACTACACATATCCATGCATGTGAGTACATAATTGTCATTTCGATCGCATACACACATTCATACAAACATACATACATACAGACGTTAATGTTGCGAACATTAAATTAGCCATTCGACAGCAAAGTGTGGCGCACATAAAGCTCAACATTGGCGGAAGCAGGTAAACAACGAAGCGGACATGCAACAGCAAACGGAAACCGACGAAAGTGCGACAGTACATGCGGTTTTTATGGGCAGATCTACATACAAGCAAGCGTTGTTGGGCCAGTTATACTACAAACGCACAATTTATGTGTAAATGCACGAGCAACAGCTGCATTGTAGCAGCACCCTGTACAGAGACACAAGCATGAAATTGCGGCTGTGAAAGCACGTCGCCGAATGCGGCTTCCACATCCGCCTCACAGCGTGTGGTGATAAGGCTATAACGAATAATTGGGCGAGTTTTTATCCTCTCACACTGCATACGGGTACATTTATGCGGGGTTCTTAGAAAGAACCGATTGAACAATTCTTCTGAAAACACAATATGTTATATCACAGGTATCGGCTAGAATTGGGATCAACTCCCACGGATTAGGATCAACTCTCACGCGAGACATGGTGTGGACTTTGGAACACTTATTAGAGTTGAGAGACGGTAAAATATTAGGGGCCAACTTATATAACATAATATTAGTAGCTAAGCATCCAATTATTTATTAGGGTGTTATCTCATATTAACGAGACGATTCTCAAACACAATTTCGTTCAATCACTCAAATATTTACATTTTAAATACGCGAAATGTCAAGCAAACAGCATAAGCGCTTCAATTTCACATTTTGTTTACGTTATATAATCGAATTACAATTATTGGTAATTTTTATGTTTTGCAAACAACAATTTGCATGACATTAAATTTATTAGCCAATAAAAAAGGGAGCAAACCAAAATTATATACACACCATCATAAACAACAGTTAAGTGTAATTTACCTGACCAAGCCATATTTATGTCCATCATTAGTGTCAACAAAACAGCTGCCACTGATATGCTCCTTCCTCCTCATTCGCTCGCTCATTTCAATTTTCATTCTGGCATTCATTGGCTTTCGCAGGAAATTCGCTCTGCCATGACATTTGCTCATTTGACACCCTCAGTGTCCACGCTTCGGCAGCATTCGCGGACTGTAAATTTGAAATATCCAACAACCATTAGGCACAGTGGGCACAACAGCAAAGAACTAGCTGAAAAAAGTTTGGACTTTAACCAAATTCAGCACCTCTGTTGTATTTGTGGAGAAGTTGGATGGCACGCGAACACTGTTTATTGCCGTCGTCTAACGGTTTTTATGATCGCCGCCCTGTCTCGCCACCGCTGTGTGCTTAAATTACCGGAATTGAGAGTGACATTTATACGCCAGTTGACATTGCAATGCGGCATCATTATTTGCTCTACGCAATCGACAGCACTGGTGGCCGCTATTTTTGTTTTTTGGCTGCTGGTTATGTGCGTGAATTCAATTACAGCGCAACATTTGTGTATAGAGATTTGCACTTGCAGTCAATGACGCCACATTTGTCCCATAATGTCAACAGTCGGCCTCGTGTATTTTTGGCTTGGGTACATTACATTCCATTGCTAATGCAACGCTCGATAATGGAAGTCATTGTCAATAAATCCCTCTGGAAACTTTGGTCATTTTAGAATAGTGGTTCACTATTAAGTGCATCAATAAAGGTCATTTATCAATTTCAGAACATTTGTGACTATAAGAATCTGATGAAAGCAGGAGTGAGAACGCTTGATTTTATATCGATGTATTGCGTCAAAATGTAATCGTCTTTCTGATCTTAAGTACAAGTAACATTATCAGGCTTTTCAGAGGTATTACTAGAGCCGAGTCTTTGAGGGTTGTCTAAAAACATTTTCGGAATCAGAAAATATGGTTTTAAAATTATGAGAAAAAAAATTGTTTTTGCATTAGATTTCATGTAATCATAATGCATACAAAAACATTTTAAAGAGACTAGTATAAGAAAATACTGAAAATATACGATCAAAAAACTATGAAACGATTATTTGGAGTTCCAAACGTGTTTTGTAACTTTGTGAAATTTGAAAAGAAGAAAAGAGTCGGAACATCATCCATAAAACAATACTTGTCAAACATCAGCACAACCCCTGACTTGAACTCGCAAAATAGCGATAATAAAGCTACTTAGCTCTCCTGGCATTACGGTATGGAGATAAATATTATTAAAAAATATTCATGTAAATTAAAGGGCTATATTCACTTGTGAATTTCATAACATCGATTTTACAACAACGAATGTACACACATTTGAGAAAATTTTCCGAAAACTTAAGTTCGGCAAATATTGTAATTTCGGAGATATGACTTGACAATTTCGCACGACATTCTTAGATATATTTCTGCGAAATAATGATCGAAGCAATAAGATTTCTGATAATAATTTCAGTTTTCAAGCTACTCTCTCCAATTTTAAGCTGAAGACTCTTCCTTACCGCTAGATACCTCGTTTCAGAGTTCCTCGGTTACGGATGAAGATTATCCAAAATTTTTCAAAGTGAATCGCCGATTATAAAAGTATATTAAGTTCTGTAAATGAAATGTTTATATCTATAAAATACACGAAAAGTCGCAGTGAATACATTCCCTTAGGTGTTTACCTATAAATTCGAAAATAACCATAACATATATATCTTATTAGAATATATTTTTATACATATTTATGTAATGGAACTCATATCTCTACTAAATGCTTGATCGAGGTCGCCTCATGGTTGTCCGTTATACATATCATTGCTTTGAAATACTCCGTTTTATACAATATTTTTAGCAATATCAAAAATTTTGTAACAGACAAATTTATAAAAGTATTCTATCATTAGTGTTTTTCTATATTTATACTTTAAACAGAAACCTTCTCAAATGCTCCGATCTATACCATGCACGTGCATATGCAATAAATCTTGTTCATATACTATCCACACACAGTTCAACTTTACTGATTGACATTGATATGCAACACTTAAATACGGTAATTTTATCATCGACAACCTTATTATCATTACCGAGCACATTAAAATAATGATTAACCAATGCAGTGCGAGCTTACGGCCTTCCTGTACACACACACTCGCACTCACAGACGCACTGGGAAAAATAATAGAGTTGCGTTTATGGCTTCACGCATGATTTACAATATTGTTATTGGACGGACGTGGACCTGTGCGACACCAAAAACGATTCCATCATGCGATAAAAGTAAAATCGTCCATAGCGGTTTAATTAAACCGCGATTAAATGGCAGTTCGGTAATGATTGTTGTCACAAACGACGCGTCCTCCGAATGGATTGATGTAACCCAATTAAGCATGCAGGCACATTAGGGTGGTGCGGTTTAAAAGTGATTTTAAATTTTCTAAAAGAAAGGCGAAGTGACGTTCAACTGTTATAATCTCAAAGTTTAAGAAATTTAGTATTAAAATTAAAAAATTTTAAAACTATTTTTTTAAATTTTCATTTAAAATTTACTTACCCTAATGTTCAAATATTTAAGCAGTATTAATTATTGTACAATATATAATGGCGTTCTGGTTGCATAAAAGCCCGCACAGAAGCTTTGAACTCATTTTAATATACATGTATGTAAAAGTATTACATATGGGAGTTGAACATACTGGTTTTAAAATGTTACATATACGCCGTGGCGCTTTGGTGGATACAGGGTCTATCCGCAAGAACAACGTGATGTTAATATGAAATAAAACACACACATTTGGTCGAAATAGGGTTCTTTTTTCTTTTTATGCTGATAACTTTTTGTCATTTATGATTTGAACAAAATGTCGGCCAATGGTAGCCAGGCTTCGTTTGCATATCCCGTTTACGCCAATTTTCGATTTTGGTTTCGCATGATCTTGGTGGCTATTTGTCTGTGCCATATCTCGAAACTAACAAGTTGCCAACTTTGCACTCAACGTGTCCATGTTTAGCCATGAAACATTAGGCGACGCACCACGTCTTGAAAATAGAGTTCGTTCGCGTCGATTTCATTAAAAAACAAAAAAATCCATTTCCGGGAAAAAATAGTCGGTCAACATTGTGCTATAACGCTCGCTATTGAAGGTAACAACATTTCCTTTGTCATTTCGAATGAAATAAGGACCGATGATTCCATTGCCAGTACTCAATCCACACCAAACGGTCAATTTCCAGAGATGCAACTGCGTTTCAATACCGTTGCAATAGCGACAATTTTGTTTTTTCACGAAGCCATTAAGCTGGAAATGGGTCTCATCTGAGAAGGTGACTTTTCCATGAACGTTTATTTAAAGTTTTTTTTCAAGAACGTGAATTTACGTAATAATTTTGAGCAATTTCCAAGCGTTGTACAAAGTTAAACGTGACATAATGAAATGGCAAACTGGCCGCTATGAGCTGTCTAAATCACGTCATCCATATTTGTAGACGCTGTACTTATGCAAATCGTGCAAACTAAAGTTAATAATCGCAGTTAAAATTTAAATATCTAGATTTATTATTCAGATTTAAAATATTTGTAAAATATATTTAAAATTTTAACAATTTTTGTATTATTTCATTTCTATAACGTACTGCCAAATCCAAAGTTAGTTTTTTGGCACAGACCTGGAGTTAATGCATGGAGGATATTCTAGAAATATGTAATAATTAGTAAGAGTATATATTAATATATATCTAGTGATTAAATTTTTGTTTCTTACTTTTCTTAAACAATCACTTTCATTTTAATTATTGTATTTAATAATAGTATTTCAGCACAAAACTGCATATAACAGAATAACTTAGAAACAGATAACATACTAAATTATGTTTCTGTTACAAAGTTAGAAACAGAACTGCGACTTCTGTTCTTGTTAGAAACGTTTTACATGAAACGTATTTATGTAAAATTTTTATAAAAACCTGTCAGCGGAAATAAAATATAATGAATTTATATAGTTTTGGTCTGCATTAATCCTTGTTTAAAAATAGCTCAAATGTAATGTTACACTCATGTACAAGACCACTGCGCCTAAATCGATCAATAGCTAGAACTATTTTATAGTATTTTGATTGATTCCAAAAATGTGTTTTTTTAGAACATCTAGTAGAATTGAGTATTCCAAATAACCACCGTGCTTTAATATGTTCTGGTCCCGCTATGCTTCTTTTAAAACGTATATAACCTAATTGGTTAGCACTGTTTCAATAGAAATGAATTCACAAGCAAACTGTTTAAACTTGCTACTTTAACGTAATTCACCCCAGAAACCCCATCGACCAATTGGAATGCGGTTGATACTGCAAACAGAAACAAAAATAATCTGTTCTCTCAATAACCTTTCGAATTTCACAGAACTTTGAAATATTTTCATTTTTCCACACACTTAAATGCAATTGCATTTCTGAGTATGGACGAGATAAAGGTCCAGCCGCTCAACGAAATTTAGCTAGAAATTTGAAATAAGCAAATGAATTTCGGCACATTTTCCTACACACACAATCATACATAAATATTATACATGATTCGTATTTATCGTTCGTAGAGCATACTTAGATGCAGAACCATCCCGACGTCTCGATGACCTCGAATGTCCATTGCATTGAAATGCCTGCATATGTGTGATAGCGATATATAAATATACATGTAGGTCTGTGCCGTTAAGTGTTGGCAAAATAGTTGCCTGAAGATACCAGCATTTTGCATATCAAACACACACATAAATATTTTCCTTTGCTTGCACGCAGACCAGTTCAATTGGCGCTCTAGATCTGGCCGAGCTCCATTTTATAAATATTTCATACCAGTAGGGCTGCTCTCAATACTGGCTCACTTGCCAGCAGACTTAACCTTGATTTATTGAAAATTACCACTCGATATCAAAAAAATGTGCAGTTACTTCTATGGATCAAACCTGGCTCACTTTAGCCAAAGGTGAAAAAACAGCAAAAAAAAAAATTAGTTATTTCATTATACGTAGAAAAATTTTGAAACTGTAGATTTTTCCTACCGGAATGTTATCTACGCACTCATATATGCATTTGCACATCTGCAGCTGAGGAGTTTGGATACTCACTCAAAAAGTGTAAATAAGTCGGACAAGTACTCACCACAGCTGTGTGGTCAATCGTGCACAACCACTCGACTACTTCCCAGCTCAAAGACCATGCGGAGCGATAGAGAGGTCAATGCTGCAAATTTTGATAGAGGAAAGCAAAACTGCTAATTCCTTCAGAGCGCTTAAATGCTGCTGTGCGTGTGGGCAGAAATTTCAATTTATGGATTTTCGTTGTCGAATGCATTCAATTATATTGCTTCGAAATCGATGCTAAGTCCCTTGTAAGTAGCAACCCAAGGAGAGTCACTTCTGACGAGAGAAAAAATTTAAATAAACAAAAATTGTATAAATAATTTTCAAAATATAAAACACTAATGCTTTAGAAGTCTGTAAAGACATGTGAAAACATTCTTAATATGCTCGTTGGTAAATAATCAATAGTGTATGTATGTATGTATAGGCTTAGTTACTGATAGCAATTATGTAGATGTTCATATATGATCGTTATTTCCTCTTTAATATGTATAATCCCCTGCAAAGCTCTGTCAATATATCGCCACTAAATCTATAAATCAAAATAATAGCTAAGCAGCTTACCAAGAGCTATTGGTGTTTTGGAAAAAAAAACAGCTTGAACGCGGGATAAGACCGGCTGATTTACAAGTATGAATTATATATGTATAACTATAAGTAAGAAAATGGAACGCTGCTATTTCGGTAACTGATATATAGCTGTAGATAAGCCTATGTATATACCATACTAACTCACCAAGACTTCCAATAAAATTTCTCTCTCCTCTTCTTAAAAAAGTCTCGTCCATTTTTCGACTATTCGAACTAGCGTCACGTTAAATTAGAGTGCTAGGAAGTATACATTTTTTTCTCTTTTCTTCCCAAATAATTGCAAAACTGGACATAGTTCAAAAATAATTTTAATTGAAAGAAGTAGAAATGGTTTAATTTTAATTATACTATTTAAAATAAAAAACACTTAATATTAATGAATATGTATGTATATGGAAATGCTATGGAAAGCACTCATTGTCAATATATAATATTTATACATTACTTTCTAAAATATTAAATTACATATTTATAAATAAAAAAAAAAACAATATCAAGAGGAATTTAGGCTCTTTGTATGAAATTAAATTACCTTCATATAATTTACTTGTATAAATAAACGGTGCTTATTTATTATATTATTTGTCTAATCAAAAATCTGCATATTTTAATAGTTATATAAATATTATATTAATCTTAAAGTTCCCCTACAGTATTAAATTTTAACTTTCTGTTTATAGTTGAAAAGCTATCTACAGCTTACTGCTTTACCTAAAGATATACATAATCTATATTTATATATGTGTATATATAAATACTATAATTATATGATTTTCATAGGAATGTCACCATAATACTCAACGCTTTTATTTTTGTTTTAAAAATAATCGAGAGATTAATCATCAAGCTTCGAGGCCTCGAGTTCCATATAAATACAAAAACTAACTAACTTGAACGGCAGTCCCCGATTTCAAATATAATGCCTTTGTAAAGAATCTCTTCATATTTTAAAAATAATTTTTTTGAAATAAACGTATATATATAATATATATACATATATAAATATAACATATATATATATTATATGTTTAATAACCGACTGACGTAATTGTCACCACTACACATGCGCTTCCTTTTCCAAATAATCCTGTCACTCTTGTTTTGCCGCACAATACACGGCAACTCTCACAGCCAACTCATCACACGCATGAGCCCACCGGGCAACAATATTAACGCCGCCACCACCCGTGCTAGTCAATCGATCCGATTCGTCTGCAACCGACCAACAGCCCCAGCTGTATCGCCCTCGATGATTTTCTCAATGAATTCATCCCATTGCAATTGCCACTTCTGTAGTGCCACTTCTTGTTGCTGCTCATTTAAGGCGCTATACACCAGCGAGTTGATCGCCAATTTCTTTAGTAAACGCATATCGGCATGTGCCGACGCTATACCTAAGAAGGCAATATAAAAATCGTGTGAGAGTGGTGTTGCACGCCAAAATGACGGATCATCTGAGGAGATCACAACTGTAAAGTTGTTGGAAAATAAATGTGAACAGGGATGATTGCGATAGTCGGTGACGAGTTGCAAGACTTGATTAGATATGGGATTAATCTCGACGGGAATGTTGCGCTCTTTCAGCGCCTGCAAGACGAGCGGATGTTTAGTGAGCGCGAAGCCGTGTCCAATACGCTTAGTACCGAGCAAGACAGCGTCAATTAGGTTTTCATCAACGGCAGCACCATACCAGTTCGTTTCCCCGGCGTGGAAGTAGAAGTCAATATCGGCAGGTATGCTAAGTAATTGTGGTATGAAATCTTTCAGTGGACGGCCGAGCTCCTCTTGACCAACCAAATCGAAGCCAGCTACGAAATCGGGATATGTGGCCTAAAAGTGGCGGGATTTTTTCTCTTTTAATTTTAAAAGGTGAAAATGTTACAAAACTCTCACCTTGATCTCGATGCAGATACGTATATATTGCTCAACCGTTTCCGGGCTTGCATTTCTTATTGGCGCATATATCATTTTCGAGCCGATAAAGTCCGGATATTCATTCATAAATCTTTCTAACGTTTCTTTGTAGATGCGCACTGTGTCGAGTTCAGTATATTCTCCGTCATCCAAATCATAGAGCTGGTTAAGAAAATAATGTGATAGAAAACGTTGTTTAACCAGGATTTATTTAAATTGATAAAGTTTATGTTATATTAGTTAGTACGAACTACGGAGGCGATTTAAATCAATATTTGGTTATCATAAGTTCCATTCTGCAAACCAAAAGTCTCATCGAAATTTCTGTCGAGTTGGTGACAGTCCTAGATCAGGACTACATTAGAAATGTAGCGATATATCTCAGCATGCCAAATCATTAATATTTATATTCTTATACTTTTGGTGTTACTGTTAAAATCCAGCGAAATACCAGTGCTCCTTTAAAAATATGAGGATCTTATAGATATGCAAATATCTTGCTAATATTGATATCTTATACATTTATACATATAAGAGACTTTTCAACTGTTCAATAGAAGAACAAGAGGCCCTTCCAATATATGATGGGCTCTATTTGCCGCATAAAGACTTAAAAAAGACTAACCTGCGGCAGTGTGCTGCGGAATTCCAAGTATTGCACGCCATCCGCACGAAACTCCTTCAACGCATTGTAATAGTAATCAGCCCAAACGGGGGCATAAGTAAGTAAACCGTCCAACAAGGAAAATATCTCCATAAAGCTCTTCCATGCCTCATTATTGTCCAAGAACTTCTCTGTTGGGTACAGAGTGAGGTGTTCGCGTAAAAACTCGTCTACCGCTGCAGCGCCATGTCTGGCACGTATCTCTGCTAACAACGTCCACGCGCAATTGGCACCATCGACTGCAAGTGTCGGTTTAGTTCTGGAAAAACGCAATGACACCACTTCCAAACTGCCGCTACTTTCACAAGCCCACAAATTCTCACGATATGTGAGCTCGATCAAAAAATCTGTGCTGCACATGGCTGTATCGTGTGCATGCAGGACACCTCCCTTCGGCATTGCCTGCAGGTACGCGAATAGCGGCATCTTAGCTATGTCCTCTAATACGCTGAAAAAATGTTTAGACGGTTTGAAGAGATGTGGCGTCACAATTCCTTCCTCATACTCGTACGTCTTGGCTGCCATAATGATTTGATTTGCAAGCAGTTCGCGATCATTCAACTCAATATCTGCGCCCAGTCCCTTGGACTCCTCATCGCGAAAAAAAGAGCTGCGTTCAGCATTATAAGCCTCCGGTGTCGGACGATTATTGCGTACACTGCCATCAGGCCTATATGCATAAGTAGCCAGATGTGATGCTGCCAATTGGCTACGTGTATGGAAGCGCGCCAAAACGACGCTACAGAAACACGCGACAAGCATTAAACGCGAACAAATTTGAAACATCTCGAGAGCTGACCTCAAATAAACTGCTGCAAGACGAGACACTTGTTTTCGGGAGCACTTCCCGTAATTTACGTATACGTTGAACGTCTTTCGAACTCGAACTGGGAAGTTATCGCTTTGAATTTTAAGGCGTCTGCTGTTGAAGAGCGACGGTAATCTACAAATGAATGAATTTTAGTAGCATTTTAGTTCAGGCTTATGCCATCTTATCGGCCAGTTTGCATATACAATATGTATGTATGTGGGTATACTTTTGTAAAACCCCTTCGAGTGTTTATGATAAACACTAATAGGCATAGCAGAATTGTATATTACTTGTCGATAAGATAAACATTGCGCTAATAGGTACTTGCTTAAATATAAAGACAGGTTATATAACAAGGTTAACCTAGAATGTGACTGATAAGCCTTTCAGCCATGTGTTCGACCGAAAATGTCCCTTAGAGCAAAATTGGCATTGATAAGCAATACTTTGGATTTAGCAAAAATTAGACTATTTTGGAGAGGGATTTAATCGGTTTTGATATAATATTCTCACTATATATCTTATATCGGCTAATTCCAAAACAAAAACACCTTTAGGTTTTGGCAAAACTTTATATCATACTACGGAAGGTATCGTCGTGATTTCATTCATTTAAGGAAAGAGGATCCACTGTTATTAGAGAAAGTTTTTTCTGAATTTCATTAAGATTTCATTACATATTGACCGATAGATGCAGTATAAAGTGAAAAGGAGGTTCGAAATTAAATATATATTTATATTAGGTATATGGGAGCTAAGGGAAGTATTGCCCTGCTTTTACCCAGTGCGATTTCGACAATTTTTGGACGTAAGATGAAGTATCTTGAGGGCACTATTTTGCAAAGTTTTATTCAGATAACTTTATTGATGTTTGATTTGTATACTGTAAAGTGAAAGAATCAGACAGAATTTAAAGGTGGTTACCATCCGATTTCGAGGTGATAAAATCACTTCTTCTCAGCAAGTTAGGTTGATATAGATTAAGCGAAAGATATGTACATTAAACCATTTAGGGAGCGGAGCCACGTCCACTTTTAAAATATGTTTAGCCCACAGGTATCACTGGCTACCGCGATCTCCTGTATCAAATTACAGTTTTGCATCTTAGTTTGTCTAATTGGCTTAGTAATGGCACTTTAAAAGTTTTCATTTAATGGCGTTTTGTGGGCGTGGCAATGGTCAGGTTCCACCTATTTGCAATTCCAACATCCCTGGGTGACAAGGAATATGAGCACCAAGTTTTATCCAGATATCTCCATTTTTACTCAAGTTATCGCTTGCACAGACTGACAGCCATCCGCATTTTAACTCGTCTCGTCATCCTGATCATTTAAATACCATATACATTTATATTACTCTATATCTATATCGAGTAGTTTAAGGTGATACAAATAACTGTTAGGTAAAAAAAATACTATTGTACTCTGTAGCAACATGTTGCAAGAGTATAAAAATAATTTTGGTATAATCAAAAACTATATAGGTATAAAATAATTTTAATGGCTTCGTAAAATATTTATGCATGGACTCCATCTGGTCAACACTCTACATATAATTTCACAGTATCAAGTAAGCATTCATACATATTATAAATGTACCATATATATGAATATCAACATATCACATTACCTATAAAATATCATATCGCATTTCATAAAAACAATATCATATCACATCTCTAAAATCAAACAGCACACAACATCGAAACATAAATTATAGCTTCACATAATTTATATCGAGTAAGAAAATATTAAATCACTACATCTAAAAATCAATATAACGCAATCCATATCATCACATCACATACTGCTATTTATATTACATAAAGTTATAGCACATTAATAATCTTCACAGCTCATATAAGAATAGCACCTATAAAACATTACAACGAACTGCAAAATATTAAGTGGCACAATGTCATCACATTGTGATCACATCACGTTATATATATTCTATGTTACCTTATCACATCACCGCATGTAAATACATCGTATTACACGATATCTATCCTAAAAACACATTACTTGGTGTTAAACACCCAAAAGAGCCGAGCCACTTTCTTGGCCAAAGGCTCACCTTTTCATTTTTATTTTTGGTAACCACCGAATTTACGATTTTTCAATTTTTACATAACAAATTTTACTAATACACCCACACATTACATTAACAATTCAATTGAGAATTTATATTGGCGATCCATTGGTCCCAGCGTTTATGCCACTTTTCGAATGCTGCCTCACGCTCACTGCCGCTGAAGGCACCGAAAGTAATCGAGTTCGAAGCTAACTGCTTCAACAGGCCAAGATCTGCTTTTCGCGAAGCGATGACCATAAACGCCATATAGAAGTCATGCGTCAGAGGCGTGGCTTTCCAAAATGAGGGATCATCGGAGGCAATGACCACAGGATAATTGACGGCGAAGAGCACCGCGGCGGGGTGTGTACGCAAATCGCCAATATATTGCAGTACTTGATTGGATATCGGGTTTATTTCGATTGCAATGTTTTGTAAACGTGCCAAGTGCAATACTTCGGGATGTTTGAGAAGTGCCAGACCATGTCCAATACGTTTCGTGCCGAGAAGAACGGCGTCGAGTAGATTTTCATCGATGTTCGTGCCATACCAATTCGTTTCGCCGGCATGAAAATAAAAATTTATATCGTCTTTCAAAGTAAGTAGCTCGCGTGTATAGTCATGTAAGGGCCGACCCTCCTCTTCGTAACCGACCAAATCGAAGCCGGCGAAATAATCGGGGAAGTGAGACTACAGAGAAGCAAAGTAAAGCGCTTGAATAGCGATTTAATACTAAAAAATCAGATTCCCTACCTTCAGCAGCAACGCATTGCCCAAATACTCTACAAAGCGAGCGTCAGACACTTTCCTCGTCGGTGCGTAAATCAGGCGTGAACCAATCCAGTCTGGATACGAAGCGCGAAATCGCAAATCAGCATCGCGCATTGCACGTGTCGTATTCAAAAGGGTGTAGTTGCCGCCACTCAAGTCGTACAACTGATGAGAGAAAATAAAGGCTAGAAGCAATCAAGCGATTAACAGTAACGCACTCACTATCGGCAAGACGGAACGAATTTCCAAATATTGCACGCCATCTGCATAAAACTCCTCCAACGCTTTATGTATGTACTCACTCCACACTGGCGCATACGTCAGGAGCCCCACAACGAGCCGAAATGTGCTACGGAAACGCTTCCAAACTGCATCCTCGTTTGGGAATTGTTCCAGCGGATACATAGTCAACTGCTCCAGCAACTTCTTATCGACAACATCGCTGAGAGTACTCTGTCGCAAGGTGCTCAGCAAAGACCATTCGCACGACTCTTCGCTCTGTGACTGCAGCAAAGAGAAACGTAACATCTGATACTCTTGCATCTCACTCTTTACGACGCATATCCATAAATGCTCATGATAGGTCAGCGATAACAGAAACTCACTGCTGCACAGCGCCATGTCATGCGCATGCAAGACGCCACCTTTTGGCATCATTTTTAAGTATCGAAAGAGCGTCGTATTACCGACTTTCTCAAAAGAGCGGAAGAAGTGTTGCGCCACCTGAAAGTGGCTTATGTTTTTCAAACCCAACTCCAATTCATGCTTCTTCTCCAACATGATCAACTCATTGACCACGCGTTCGTTGGCGTCAAGCAACACGCGTCCGCCAAGTTGGTTATTTGACTCCTTCTCCAAGATATTAGCGCGCATTGTTTCATAGATGCGCACTCGTTCGGCAAGCTGCGCGTAGCCTTGCAAGGCCGGCAAGTCCAACAACAGTGCAAACACCAAAAAATTCGCCAGTATGAGGAATATTGCAATATTTCTAATCCAACGTAAGTTCGCCATAGTCACAGTTTCTCAAGCGACGGGCACAATTTGACTGAGTTTCTGCGAATGAGATGAGTTTGACGGGTAAGCTCACTCTCGTAACTTTGAGCTAATGCGCTGGTTTGTTTATTTAATCTGTCACTAATTAGACCGAGCTCGAATTTAAAACAAATGTTGTAGTCACTGATAAGTAGAGGCAGAACTGCGTTATTTAATGCGCTACATTTAAGTTCACAATAAATTTGTTTGCTTTAAATAACTTATAATGTTATTTCTTAATTTTTAATTTTTTTTCATAAAATTTTCTCGTATTTCGTTTAGAAATTATAAAATTACAACATTTGAAAAGGCCTTTGATGACATCGCAAACAATGTTTGTACACATTCAGGTAGAGTACAGTAGAGTACACAATCAGTTATTTTATAGCTCTAGATATCTCAGAAAAAAGTTAATTTGCCCTGCCAACTTTCAACCCAGTTTTTAATCATAACTTATATTAACCTTTCGGTAATTGAAGTTGCATTTCATTCTTTCTAAAAACTTTCAGGTTTGAGGGTTTACCTGAAAGTTTTTAGAAAGAATGAAATGCAACTTCAATTACGCCAGTCTATAATTTTTCCACCGATTTCAATTATCATTTTTCGAACCTCGTATGTACCCAACAATTTGTAGAAAGATTACACGAAACAGAAAATGCTACAATAAAAAATAAACTGACAGCGAAATTTACATTCCAATTCTTATTTTTAATAAAAAATTTTCACAAAATATAAACGCCTTTCGAAAACTTTTACATATTTTTATAATCGAACATTTTATAACATTTCCAAACTCATCAGCGTATCCAAAGCTTCGAAACGTGGGTTTTTGATTGATTTAAGAAAATTCATAAAATAAAATATTTCATAAAAGAATCGTTTTAGAATTGTTTTCAAATAGTGAAACCACAAACAGCGAAGGTGCATGCGACGTTCTCTGAAACAACGAGATCTACAGGCTTTAGATCTGAACACCTACAATATGAATGTTTGTCCACAACATCAACAACCAGCACAACAACATGAGAAGGTTGAAATTTGAAATAATAATATAAAATTAGAACGATAAATATTTGCTCCCAACATCTTTGACAGTACTCAGACACAGCGACCCAGAGGTCGGGAAAACCGCCTGTCGCAGGTTACCAGCAAATGCCGATACCGAGAACTCAACCCATGACACTAGAAAAACCAAACTCGGTAATAATAAGTAATATTCATTTATAATATGGTATTGAATGCAAAATATTTTTGCTATATCAGAGTTCCGAGCACAGCATGAATCAGGGCCTTACTCGTAGTTTGAGCATGGTTGATTTGCCTTCGCAGCGTGGGAAACTGTTGAGGGTACTTTTAATTTTTATATTATGCTATTTTTTTACTTTTAAGCGATTATAAACAAATAATTGAAATCATTTAAATATCAGCTTCGCGCTGGTTATGATCATTTGAACGGCGAAGAGGAGGAATTGAAAAAATTTTGTGAATCAGTGGATCCAAATATAGTTTTCGATGAACTGCAGCCAGAACCACCGCGTCCAACGCAGCTACAAACAGCTCGCTTGCGCGCTGGTTCACCAAACAATTACTCATGTCCACCACCAACACCTTGTCCTTGTCCAGACAATTTCAACAGACAGACAGAGCAATCATCGCGGATACAGAATTTTTCCTCATTCTGTCCACCAGGGGTAAGATCAATACCGATATACATATCTTCTACGAATTTCTCATATCTCCTTTCCGTTTTTCGTGACTTTGAATATTGGTAGTATGACAAAACTATTTTTAAATCTCTAATGCGATTTCTAGAAATGTAAACATTTAAAAAATTCGAAAAAATATCTGTTTAAATCTTTTCCTCACATGCAGCTTAGTACCGGTGTTACGAGTACGCCATATTCACAATCAACACGACGTCGTTCGGTAAATGATTCAGAGCAGTTAACTTATATAAATCTATCGATTTTTCTCACAATTATATCATATAATTTCAGTCCTTTGATGATTACCCCAGCATACCGCCACGTCACCTGGTAACAATAACCTATGAATAATTAAGTAGAACACTTATTGACACTATTACTGCGATATATTATATTTCTTTAGTCAACCAGAGATCCTACAATGTCAATGTGGGTGCCGCCGATACCGCAGCCGTCACCAATAAGGCAGTCCAACAGACCATCGACATCGACCAGGGTATATGTTTTCGGCGTTTTTTTGTGGTTTAATATATGTATAACTTAATTTATTCATCTTTGTAGTACTCCCAAGATACGTCTAAAGTGCTGTACGAATCCCCAAGACGCAGCCATTATTCACCAACAAATGTGAGCGTTTTAATATTTTTTCTTAACCAATTCTTACACAAATACATTTCTAAATCTTGCAGCGAATGAACAGTACACCCTATATGGGCTTGGCAGGACAACCCTTCAACGTAACGGTAATTTAGAGTTATACTGCAAACTATACCATACTTCAAATAGCATTACAAATCATAAGCTGTCTTCGATTCGCCATTTCTCTGCTTGCTATCTTTGCACGCTCTCTCGAAGAGGTATAATCGCTATCTTCAATACCAAATTTTGTATTACACATTTTAGAACAATTACAATTGTAAATGGCTCATATGACAAATTACTCTCAAAAATTAAAATCGCAACATTTTTATGGATTTTTAATCTTTAAGACCTGCAAAAAACTATGGTATAGTTATTTATGAAAATCGTAAAGCTCAAAACTAAGAGTTGACCAATTTTGTTTTTCTTGCGGAAAGAATAATTGCTCCATCAAAGACAGAAGCGCAACATGGCGCATGCATCAGAGGACCTGTTAGCACAGAGCTGCAACGCAATTGCTGCCAGTTTGTTTGAGCAACTGGTATAGTATGTTCGATTCACTACTCTGCAACGCTTGGCAAATCGAAGACAGCTACAAGCATATAATGATAAATTAATTGTGTATTGAATTTAATTGTTCGCCTAGAGACCACCGCCACAAATGATGGCCACCAAATGGATTACGCCACCGGGCCGAATGCCTTCATCTTTCATGCAACAATCCACTCTAAATCACTCCGTACTACCAACGGTATGTATGATATCGATTTCAACGCATAAGAAAGTATGAGGTAATTTTAAATTCTCTCCACAAAAACCACACAGATGCGAGAAGCTTGGACACCGCCATCATGTCCAACGGTATTTTCAATTTCTTTAATAAATTTAATTTAAATAGAAAATTCACAAATTAATTCTTTATCTTCAGGAAATTGATGAGTCACTCATATGCCACACGGAAGGGGTAAAAACATTGATTCAACATTTAAAATTATTAATTAAGTTATCATTTTTGTGTCCATAGACCGATGAATGCCCTAATAAAATGAAGAATATACCTTGTGAGGGTTGCGAAACTAACGAAACGACTTATCCGCCGCCACCGCGTTGCAAACCACTACATCCAGATATAGCTAAGGTGAACGGGTGGTTTGTTTGTTGAAGTTGCATAACAATTTAATTTTTACATTTCTACACACCCTTTTTTCTAGAAATTATGCGGTGACTTACCACTATTTAAAATACCACGACGCAGTAATTATTCGAATTCATTACAACAACCACGATTATGCGCTAAACAAATTTATTTGCAGTGGAGGACGATTTCATTTGCATTAAGCGCCGCGAGCAATGGGAGCAACTGGTCAGAGATCAAACTTGCCCGGGCGCCATACAGTCAACGATAGATGGTTTGGTTGATTTTAATGCGCTGGCATTTAATATATTCTTCGGCGAACAACGCTTACCCGACTGCTTGCCGCGCATTGAACCGATCACGCTGCTCGAGGCGTTTTTTATACGAGTCAATTACGAGCGTTGCCAGATAAAGAAGCTGGAGGACTTAACATATGCCAGGGACCACCCAGACGAAGAGGAGACGCATTCTGCGCCACCACCGAGTGACGAGTGCGTTTGTAATGCATAATTCATTAATTAAAAAATATTTAATTTTATTACGCTAGCTGCACGCTAATTGAAAAATGCTTCAAACGCAAATTCGACACTGATTTGAATGCGGCATTGGAGAAGCTCTTTAAAGCAGAGAAAGGTTTCACGTTCCTATCCCCACAAGCGGTAAACGGTAAAATATTACCTTATAATTATTTCAGTATTTTTAATTTACAGGAACAACCACTAATGAGTATGACAATGGAAAGCACCAGCACCGATTTACCGGGTATACCCATATCCATAAAGGCCTTCACAGGCACAACCAAGCCACGAGACTGAGTTCATATGATTGAAGAAGGAAGCGATATTGTATATAACAAATGACAGATTTACATAAATAAACTAGAATTTTTCCTCAAAGATACTAATTCTAACTCTAGTGCAATAGTAAGGCGTCTAAAATTAATAATTTTAAATGAAATTGCATAACAGCCGAAGCTTCGGCATCACACGGAAAGCCACCTAATAGAACCGACTTGAATAATTCTTAAGTTTGTTTGGTACAATTTTCAGATCGTTAGAAGAGGTTAAGGATTGCCAATTATTTAAAACAAATTGAATCGAAAAAGTTAAGATAAATATTGGTTAAAAAGTTGGTTGGTTGGCACTTGTTTAAAAATGTTATTTAGTTAATAAATGGCGTATTGCAATATGGGTATCAAACTAAATAGGATTAAGAAAAAGATTTTTGTAGTTAGATTTGCCAGCTGACCCAAAGTTTACGTTTAACATTTTGTTAAAACAAATTCAATTTTACACTGTAAATGAATGTTATAAATATATATACAAGGAATATATAACGGTTAGTTAGGTTACGTCGATGGCTGATCATCAAGATGGGGATAAATCTGCTTAGGTATTTAATTTCTATTCCCACCGTCTAAGTGGAATATCTCAAAGTGTGAGCTCCAGGTATCCTTTAACGCATTAGAGTTGTAGCCCTTAGTGGGCCCAAGGCTAAACATTAAAATCTCATAGATTCCAATTTTTTTAGTTCTCAACACTTTTCGAAAAATTTCGAAAATTCAAATTAAATAAACACTTTCCAAAACGTATTTGACATATACATAAATATGTAAATAAGTAAAATAAAAATAGTTTAATGAAATTTTTGTGGAATAAAAGGCGAAAATTCCAAACAAAATTCTAAATTCTAAGTAGAATGGTGGAAGTAAGTGCAGAACATTATGAATTAAGCTTCAGATCTCCGATTAAATATACCCTTTTAATATAACACTAGAATTACTCCAATACAGGAAGCTCAAGGCGGAGTTTCCGAAACAACAGCAGTCAGCGAGGCTTTGATTGTAGGCCTCAGGTAGGTGATCCATGTGCACGCACTAATACACCTCGCGGCATACATGCATATATTTAAATTCGACACCCTCTCTCCCACAGTTCCAACAGCAAAAGTCAGGATCGCTACGAAACAGCTGTGAACCCTCCACATCAGCGGCCGCGGCGGCCGTACGTGGGAACTACGACAACTGCGGCTGTCCGACCCGAAAGGTGAGTGCATGTCACAACGCATAATCAGTACACTTGATTATCAATCCGCTTTAATTCTGTACACGTGCATAGCTATCAACCTCAGCCTCCTCATCGCCGACACGTTTCAATGCAAGCACAATGCCGAAAATGTGCTCGAACGACTTGAACACCGGCGCTGGCATGCTATCATCAACGCCACAGGTGAGCTAAAAACTACAAAAAAACACGCCTTGCAAATATGAGCATCAATCCTAACAAAACAATGAACTTTTTCTCAAACTTAGGCCGCATACGGGATGTCTCGCAATAGCTGTGGCCATTCGGCTGCATCGCTGGTACAGGATTCTTGCAACAATCTGAGCAAAGCTTCAACTGCATCTTGTTGTTGCTGTTGCCCACATTGTGGCAAACCGCAGGATCCAACGCAAACAACAGCAACCACAACAACAACATGTCCGCCACCCAAGCCCTCACTGCCATGCAGGCCGAAGCCGCAACCGCTGAAGGAGGAGACGCCATCACGTGAGTTACCACTACAAACACTTATGCACATACATATGTGTGAGTGCCGTGGTTAATTAGTCCACAAACATATTTCCACATGCGTATGTGTGCTCGTACGTACACGTGTCATTGGTATGTGCTTTGCAGCCGAGGTGGAGTTCAAGTGTCGCATGCGAAAATTGCAGTTGGAAAATTTGGTTAAGGATCAATACTGCCCAGGTGCCATACAGAGTACAATTGATTGTGAGCAGGACTTCAATGAAGCGTCCATTCGTCTGGTATTCGGTTGTGATCCATTGCCTTGCACGCTCCCAACCGTGGAGCCTATCTCACTTTTGGAAGCGTTTGCAATGCGTGTTGAATTGGAGCGTTGCCTACTCGACGAGGATACGAACTATGCCGAGCAGAGAAGGTCATCACGACGTGGTTCAAACGAGTTGGACGAGTGAGTGGTGAACTTTTTTAACATTTTAACAACAAACAATGTTGCTTATGTGTTTTTGGCTGTTTTATATACAGAGTGGACGAATATTTCAGTAAAAAGTACAAGACGGCTCTCAACGAAGCGCTGGCGAGTTTCTTGAAGGCGGAGAGGTGCTACTATTTGGAGAATCCAAATATGGTGAGAGTACCTATTATTATTTTTAAGCTCTGGTATCATTTTAAAGGGAGTATAAAATAGTGTACACTTAACGGTTTCTTGCAAAATCTGAAATTAATGCAGAAGAAAATTTGTTTGTCCATCCATCCATATATCTGTGATAAAACTTTCTGCAACTCTTTAACCAATAAAAAATTCAAATTTAGGGCTAAAGGTCCGGAAAGAAGGCACATAGATACATTGCAAAAAATGTTTTTGTAATAAGTGGTTACTGCGACCTCTAGTAGGCTTAAGGAACTCATCTTATAAACTACTAAAATTATGTCATTAAAAATTAATATAATTATTGGTTTTACATCCACCCACTTTATAACGGTAGTATTTACTTCATACGAAGGCTGCCTGTTATATTTTGTGTTTTGGTAACCCTAGTTTTGCAATCTGGCAACTCACAACTTTATCGCAATGTTTGACATTTCTGATTTATACATACTCTGAACGTTTTGACACACGAGCAACGAGCAGTATTTAAAAAACTGGACATGTCTCAACCATACCGTTAGAACAACGCTGAACAGTAAATTCTGTGTGGTACACAACCATTTGTCTCCCAGTTGTATTTCAAGAATACAGGAAATCCAAACGCCGAAGAGTTCTCTTCACCACAACAATGTGGGCTCTCACATATCAGCTGAAACAAGTGCATTTATGAGCACTCAAAACATTGGTGTGATGAGTCAACCACCGCATAGTTCTACCCGAACCGGCACCGCATGACTTCTTTTTATTCCCCTACATAAAAAATAAACTAAGAAGTCAAAGGTTTTCGACACCTGAAGAGGTTGATGCGTTAAAATGTTTTGGATATACTTGTATGTACCTCAATCAGATTGGCAAATGTGCTTCTACAATTGGTTCAAACGCATACAAAAGTGTATAGATCTGAATAGAGAAGATTTTGAAAAACAATTAAGCGATTTTAGATTAATAAATTTTTTTTTTTTTTGGTTTCTAATCCCGAAATATAAAAGGCTACCCTCGTATATATCCATGCTACTACTCTGTTGATTTATTCTTAACATCGGACTGCAACTAAGTCTACAATCCATAGAACGCCTTTTTGAATGCCAACAGTCTCTTTTACTTTGTAGCAGATAACTCATGCAATAATCCAGGTGCCAAAATTGAACTCCAGAAATCTGACAACTCTATTCTAAAAACTCTCCCATATCTCGATTTCCAATAAGGATAACGATTTTCCTCCCTCTCTACATAGAATATACTGATAAGTGATCGAGTTTACAATGCTGATGAAATAATTCGATATATAACTTTGCTAAATAACTCTCATTACAGAATGCTCTCAGCATGAATGCGCAAATCAATAAGACCTATACATGCCTGCCAAGCAGCTCTTTCAAAATTACTGCCTACACAGGGAATACGAGACCAAATATGCAGTAGATTGTTATCGTTTTATTTTTTGTATTAATTAGAAATGTGTATCTATTATAGAAACTTTTAATTTGTTATAAAAATTTTATGTATAAAATAATAAATTGCGTGAGCAACACGTATTTGAAAATCGACCAGAGTTGCTTTTGGAATATTAAATTGAAGAAAGACTACAAAGGTGATCGTTTGATCATATGGCGTACATCATGCAAATATAAAGATGTCTAAAAGGGGTAAGTAATTAAAAGTCAACAATAAAACTTTAGGAAAATAATAAAAATGGCTTGTAAAAGGCGCTTAGAAATGCCAGAAAGGGTTTCGAGAACAAACGACCACCAAACGTGCTCATTTAATACATTGAAATCAACAATTATATAATACAACTACAAATATATACAGTGCCGCAATCTGTGCCTTGTATGCACCGTCATGTAGACGACGCGAATTGATTGTAAATTTCCCATCGCTTACGGTTCATTGATTTACGGGCGGCTTGACGACCAGCTGTTGATCGGTTTAATTGTGTGTGAAATTGCTGTTCGTCACCGCAGTCGAGTGCAACAACAAATATAACATTTCCAATCATTTGACCAGAGCAAATAAATAAATAGCACACCTATACATACTCGTACATATATGTATGTATATGTACAACAGCACAAAAAAGCAAACTGTCTACGGAAAAATATGAGCATAACAATAAATAACGGTATGTGTGCCAGTGTGTGTGCTGGTAGGTGCAATTTTAAATTTGCATAAAAAAATTGTAAATATTTCCATGCATTAACAGCTTTCGGTTATAGCAAAAAATTTATGATAATTGTTATTTTTTTTTGTTATTATCAAATGCAATTAATTTTAATTACGAGTATCTTCAAAATTATGACTTTTATGAATTATACTTCAATCGTGATACAGTGGGAGGTCTTCAAGCTAAGCAATTCAGAATATATGGTAAATCATTTGTGTTCAACGCTCTTAGAACAACAACAACATCTCGGGTTAGCCGCTGTTCAGAGCGATATTCTGCTCATTTTTATCGGTTATAAAAACTATTTTATTGATTTAAAAATTAATTTTTGATCACTAAACGCTATGAGAATCAGTAGCATTTGCATATGTTAAAATCAAATTTCGAAATTATTTGTGCTGCCTGATTGAATAAATCTTGAAATATACATTTTAAATGCGTCATCCGCGTCTGCCGACGTCGAAAATGTTTGACGGCAAGGGTTTTCTTGACAAAATTGTATGAAAAGAAATATTTGGAAACCAAATTGACACAGCGAATGATTCAGTAATTCAAATTTTGTTTGGTCAAAAATGATTGTATGATTGTATATATTTGTATTTTTAATCGTTTATCAAGTTGAGTACGTTTTTCAGAACTAGCTCATATTGGAAATTGAGTTTTATTTAATGTTGGGCTGATATACATAAATACGGACGGAGAAATACGACCATGTGGATGAATGAATGTGACCGTGCAGACACACGACAACACTGACTTAACGGACGAGAAACCGACAAGATCAGATGGAAAACGGACTTTGAACAATACAAGTAATACCGTAAGAAAACTAAAGTGTGATTTGTAAATAAACCATTTAAATAAATAACTTTACAAACAGTGTCATTTGTTATTAAAACATTTAATAAACTTTAAATAAATACAACTATACTTAAGACTGTCTATATATATGTTCATTATCTCTGTTACACAAGAGCATAATACAAGAAATCTACATATTTCGAATAGCTGGTTTTCTACAAACTGCATATTTGACAACCGATCTTTTTAGTAAATAATAAATTACCGTTATAAGCTTGAACGAAAAAGATGGAACACTGATCCTAATAGTTTTTAGTTCATCTATTACTATTCTCCACACAAGGGCCCTCTATTGCCTTTCATAAGCACTTTAGTTATATTGTTTAATCTCCAAACATACAGAAACAGAGGATGGTAGAATTTTACAGTTATTTGTTAATTTCACTTACATATTTAGAATAGTTATGTGGAACTGCTTCTTCTTTCGCATGGCATGTGTTTTCAGCACAATACTTTCTTCTGAACCCGCTCGCTCTCGAGTCGCAATCATACTCACTCATACTCAACGTATGATTCAAATTCATTATATTATGACTTCAACGCAGTTCCTCTCCAGCAGTAATATAACTATCGCGTATGTTTATATCCATCATTTTTATATTTATAACTTAAGCTTTAATCCCATAACAGATCGCTAATGGAACATCCAAACTTTTGATGTGTATCTCAAAAATGTGATTTCATTTAATGAATATGAGTATATTTGCTTTATGAATTACTGCGTTTTAGCAGCCAAATAATTGTTATTAACGGTTCATGCTTTATTGCTTTATCAGTATTACATACACACAAATAACAAAGGCCAATACATTATATTTTAAGTTGAATGTGTGTCTGAAATAAACATTTGCTATGAAGCATTTCAGTTGATAAAGTAAAATTACCTGCAATAAATCTAAGCTTGCTAATCTAACTATTATTTTTATTTTGTATTTATATTTTATAACAATTGGATACTTTCTTGCTACAGCTAATATTCAATTGTTGTTATAGCTATATATGCCCGAACACATACTAATTGAGTCCCACAAAATTTGGAACCACACAAAACTAAAACCATACTATTGAAAAAGCAAATAAATAGTTTTAACGGTAAGATGTCCTTGACGCCCTCATTTACTTCTAATTGGTCTTCGGGCTTCTGCCAAATTTGACAAAAAAAAATTTAATTCATCGGAGCATGCATATATACAACGTCTACCAATAGGAATGACGGGATTCTGACAGCTCGTGGCGGACATGTTTCTTTACGGATTTGTGTCAAACTATTTGTTAGTATGTTCAGTAAGATTTGCCATTTCATCACTACATGTTTCACTTTGGTACAATGCTTGGAAGTTGTCCAAGATTATTACGCAAATTCACGTTCTCCGACGGCTACTGACTGACAAAATTGTCACTATTGGGGTGAGCCAAATCCTCGTGCGGTTCAGGAACCGCAATGGCATCCCCAAAAATCTCTAAAGTATTGACATTCAACAAATTGAAGCAAGTTTAAAAATGTGTTTAAGGCTTAAATAGATCGTTTTATGAGCAATAATATATAGCTAAGACTTGCTACATACACCCACACACATATTATAAACAATACCGTTATGTTTATAGTCCAAATCGTATTTGATTTATCACTCATAACTCCACACGTACCATATAAGTATACTTATCTGTATATAGAGAATGCGTGCAAAACACACATATGAATATATACTTGTATGTGTGTGTGTCTTCAACTATCAAGCCATTTCATTATTTGTCCATTTTAATCAACCAGAATTGTTATAAATATTTATCTATACAGTTATGTACGTAAACAGATTGGTATATGTAGAGGCGCACACACACACACATGAATGTGCACTTAAAAAATTAACACCTATTTTCATTGATAAAAAATGTTGAAAAGTTAACAAGTGGTTCGCTGATCGCGATGCATAATTTGAGGGGGGAGTAAGAGGAAAGCGCAAAAGAGCGCCTAACAACAAGGCGGTAAATTACTGATTAATTCAGTCTGCATATCACTTAAGAACCCCATTAATCACTTTACATACTTGTAGTTCGAGATTATTTACGACCACACTTATACTCGTTTATGTATGAGTAGCTGTCAAGTATTATTGATTTTAATGATGAGTTTAAATAAAACAGGAAAAATTGTTAACTTTCCTATAATACCCTTTACAAATAACAAAGTTTTCAATTCAAGAGCTTGCTTTTTTATTCGTTCAGTTTGTATGGATTCTTTTCTTCAAAGATTTTTATATTGACTTGAAAACAAGTAAGGAAGGGCTAAGTTCGGATGTAACCGAACATTTTATACTCTCGGAAAGTCAAATAGTATACTCGTTTGAGATTTCTTTGTGGATTGACTGATATTTTCGGTAGAAGGTCAACTATAGGAACTGGGGTCCACATATTTAGTACTTAGGGGCTTGAACAGTTTTGGTTCGATTTAGACAATTTTTGGTCACAAGGTGGCATACTTTAATTGCATTATTCACGCAAAGTTTTACCCCGATAAAATGATTGTTGCTTGATTTGCATACTGGAAAGTGAAAAAATCAGATGAAATTTAAAATGGTGTTATATGGGAACTAGGCGTGGTTGTAATCCGATTTCGCCCATTTTCGCACTATAGTATAGAAATATCAAAATAACGTTATGTACCGAATTTGGTTGAAATTAGTTAAACAGATTTCAAGATATGGGTTTTCACCCACTGTGTAATTTTGAACGCGGTTCCTATAAAGACATCTCATACCATTCCAGAGATAAAATTTAATGTCTCTGGCGTGTTTAGTGCTTGATTTATCGCGCTTTTAGTAGTTTTTAACAGTACCATTATATGGGGAGTGGGAGGAGTTGCCACCTAATTTCAACTATTTTCACACTGTAGGTAGAGGTCCTAAAAACATTTGCTTCCAGTGAACTTTGTTATTATAGCATTAGCGGTTAAGGAGATATGCACATTACACCTATTAGGGGCGGGACCACGCCCACTTTAAACAAAAATTTTAACTGCAGATGCCCCTCCCTAATGTGATCCTGTGTACCAAATAACAGTCTTGTATCTTATTGCGGATCTTAGTTATGGCAATTTATTTGGTTTTGATTAATGTCGTTTTGTGGGCGTGGCAGTGGTCTGATTACGCCTATCTGCAATACCAACCGTCTCACGGTACCAAGAAACATGTCTACCAAGTTTCATAAAGATATCTCAATTTTCAACTCGTCTTTTCATCCTGATCATTTATATATATATAACCATATATCTAACTCGATTAGTTTTAGGTGATACAAACAACCGTTAGGTGAACAAAACTATTATACTCTGTAGCAACAGGTTGCGAGAGTATAAAAACTCCATGCCAAATTTCGTGATACTATGTTGTCACTTAATTTTGATCGGTCAGTTTGTGATTAACTGTCTAATTCTTACAAAAAAAAGCACTTCATCTGATAAATAAGTCTAGTAATAGTACATAAGTAAAAAATTCGGAGCTAAGATATAAGAATAAGAATATT